GAAGAGGCTGTGCTCTCGGTCCCAGGCCTGTGTGAGCTGTGCAGGGCTGAGGCCTCACAGGCTCCTCCTTCAGCACTGGGTTCAGTTTTGGGCCCCTCACTACAAGAAGAACATCAAGGCCCTGGAGTGTGTCCAGAGAAGGGCCTGGAACACAACTCCTGCAAGGTGAGGCTGAGGGAACTGAGGGTGTTTGGCCTGGAGAAGAGAAGACTCAGACCTTATTGCTCCGTACAACTACCTGAAAGGAAGGCGTGGGGAGCAGGGGGTTGGCCTCTTCTCGCAGGTAACTAGTGACAGGGCTAGAGGGAACGGCCTCAAGGTGGTAAGGAAAGGTTCAGGTTGGAAATCAGGAGACATTTGTTTTCAGAAGGGGTGGTCAGGCGTTGGGATGGGCTGCCCAGGGAGGTGGCGGAGTCAACATCCCTGTGGGTGCTCAAGGCAGGGTTGGACGTGGTGCTTAGGGACACGGCTTGGTGGGTGGTGGTGCAGTAGGGGATGGTCGAACCAGATAATCTTGGAGGCTTTTTCCAACCTTAACAATTCCAGGATTCTCCTCTAGACTGCTGAGTAAGGCTGGGGGCTCACAGCAGGCACCCACAGCAGCGCAGCCCCAGCCCATCAGGGGCAGCGATCCCCCCGGTTCCCTGTCAAACCCCGGTCCCTCCCCAGTCCCCTCAGTCCCCCCCCAGCCCCGGCCGCCCCTCACCTCCTCGGCCTGCTTGCGCAGCGCCTTCTCCCTCTCGTACTGCGTGAGGAGCTGCTCGTTGTCGTCCCGCAGCAGCTCCAGCTCCACGCTGGTCTCCTGGCTGTGGGCGCACACCGAGTCCAGGTTCTCCAGCACGGCCACCACCAGCGGCATCAGCTCGGCCACCACCTCCTCGTCGTAGCGCCCGATCAGCCGCTCGAACTCGCGGTAGATGGAGCCGGCCAGCCCCGACACCCGCTCCGACATCATGGCGGGGCCGGGGCCGCCGGGGTCCTCCTGGTACACCACGCCGTCCGCCAGCTCCATGGCTCTGAGGGGAGCGCCGGGACCGGAGACGGGGAAGGGGCTGGGGGGGGGGGAGGTGGAGGCGGCTCCGCGGCGGTGCCTCAGCGGCGGCCGGGAGAGGAGGAGGGGGGGGAGCGGGGCGGGGGGGGGGCGGAGAGCAACGGCGGCGGCGCGCGGCACTGACCTCAGCCGCCGCGCCGGGGCGGGGCCGCGCGTCACGCGGGTGGGGGGGTCACGTGGGTGGGGAATGGGCGGGAAGGGGGCGAGGGGGGGGTGAGGGGGGGGGAAGGGGCCGCGCCCCGCCTGAGGGGAATGGTTGCAGGGGGGAGGCGGGGGGTGTGTCAGGAAGTAGGGCGGACAACGGGAGGGTTTGGGGGGATTTAAGCTGCTTTTGGTAGTGTTTTATGCAGTGTCGTTGTCAATAGGATTCTGTGCTTTTTCTCTCTCTAAGTCCCGACCCCAACCGTTGCCCTAATGGCCATCCTGAGCCCACAGAAGTCTCCCAGGGAGCAGTGCTCGCCACAGAAGCCTTTTGGGAGAACTGAATGCCCTTTGGGAGCCTTTACGCAGCCCCACACACAACAGCACCCTGTGCTTTCTCTTCAAACCCTAACCCTGTTACCCTAATTATGACCCTAACCCCACACGAAGCCCACCTCAGTCTCCCATGACTGCTCACAACAGAAGCCTTTCGGCAGCCTTTACGCAGCCCCACTCACAAGAGCACTCAGAATCACATAATTATCTAGGTTGGAAGAGACCTCCAAGATCAGCTAGTCCAACCTCTGCGCTTTCTTTCTCTTCAAACCCCAAACCTGAACTCTAACCCTAACCTTACCCGTTACCTAATCATGATCCTAACCCCACACTAAGCCCACCCAAGTCTCCCAGGAAACTGTCCTCACAACGAAAGCCTTTTGGGAGACCTCAGCTTCCTTTGGCAGGATTTACACAGCTCCCCACACACCAGGACTCTGAGCTTCCTCTCTCTCAAACCCAAATCCAAACCATAATCATGTGGCTCTGGGTGCTGGCGGCCCCTGTGGGCAGGCGGGTGACGGCACGGGGAATCCTTCTCTTTTAATAGACTTGCAGAAATGCCTTCCAACAGTTCCCGTGAAAGCATTATTATTTATTACATGTACAGAGGCATAAATAGATCAAGTGAATGGGTTAGGGATGACTGGCAGAGTTAAAACTATTTTTTTAGGACTTAGCAGCTCTGCAGCAATGCTGAGTTCTCTGTGTTTCTTCATTTCCGACAACAAAAAGACCTCTTGTTTTCAATGCCTGATCAGTTCGTGTCAGAAAACCTGCTCTGTTACTGGGAACATGGTTCAGAAACATGTTGTGCTTGGCAGGAGAGGTTGGTTTTCCTGGGGTTTGGAATGGTGATCATGTGTTTTGTCAGGGGAACGAAGCCGGCTATTTCAGGCACTTACTGTAAATTTGAGAACATCTACAGAGATTCAATAAAAAATTAGAGAAGCTTCACAATCTTCATTTTTATCATACAATCCACGGTTGGGGAAATCACCTTTTTTTCATTACATGAATGTAGTTCATGTGCAGTGGAGCTAAGGAACCGGGTGGCCTAGCAGCAGTACGGCACCAGAAATAAAAAAATGCAAAAGCTTGAGAAGTGATGGAACTTCAGCTGCAGTGACTGCAGTAATTTCCACTGGAGTGCAGTAGAGGTTTGCACTGTATTTTCCCTCATTTGGGCTGATTCTAAGGCAGTAAATATGTTTAAATTCGTATACTGCATTGTGTTTACATACTAAGCTAATGGCTCTGCATAGGAAGGACAAAGATAAAGATTTCAGTCCCCTGTGCTGGGTTTACATGTGAGTTCTGTTCAGATATGACTAATAGTTCATATTTAAACTAAGATAATATTTGATATAATGCAGCGAGGACAGCAAAACTACACATTTGTTTGTAAACATGTCAAAATGAAAGAAAAGTTGTTTGTCTTTGAATTATGACCAAAAAATTAAGTCATTTTAGCTTAAATCAAACAAACAAACAAGTATATTGTCATACACAAATCATCTCAAGTGAAATTTTCATTTGAATTATTGGAAATGACCCTTATGAAAATATTATTTTGTATTTCTCTTTAGCAGTTGTCCACTCAGAGAAAAACTGCGACTTCTCCATGTTTACCAGCTGTCTGCCATGGATTACTGTCTTTACTTGATGCTGGGGTGTTGAGGGACAATGTCTTTCAGAATTTCTCTCTCCCTTTGTACCACAGTTTCACATTTGCCTCAGTTGTTTGTATTGAGGAAAACGCTGAAAGCCTTTGGGGTAGGGGTTGCTGGCTTGTGTTTGTTATTTTTCTTTAAGTGAGCCTGAATAAATCTTGTAGGAAGAGTGCAGATATCCAAAGTAATTCCATACCGCTCTCAGGACAAGGTTGGTAGGCCATATCTAATTGCAGTGGACTCTTAACCTGGACCTTACTGTATTATTCATGTGTAATACTGCATGACGTGAGGACATCTGTAAACAACTGCAGATGATTATAAGGCTAACAATACTGATCATCTTGAGTTGTTGCAAATGCTCTTTTGTCTATATGGTTTTATAGTTATTGTCATCATGCTTGGCAAATTGCACAAATACATTAGCTCAAAAGACTTTCGTTTTGGCAGACAGCAAAAATGGGTCAAGGTGTCCGCTGACAGCCTTTAAGGGAAGGGGTCTCTAAGGATATACTATTTTTATCCTCTTTCTATTAGCAAAATTGATAGATGTGGTTTTCTTTCAAATAGCTGGAGCAAGTCCATCAGTGAATGGGCAGGCTGCTGCTGCTAGGGTTGCAGTCAGACTGAGTACAGGGGGAAGAGAGTTTGTGCTCCATTGTGCTCCATTTGTGCTCCTGTTTTATGTCTAGTAACCTGGAAGTTTTCTACCATGGATAAATGAAATATTTAAAAATATGAACATTAGAAAAAATACCCAGGACAAGTTTCAACTGGTGTAAAGATGTATCCTGTGGGCAGTCTTACTATTCTGATCATGTTTTATTATGTGTACCTCACAGTCAGTGTGAGATCAGAAACTCAAGGTTGGATTAAAAATACAACAAGATAAGAAAGTATATCCTAGCTGCTTGCAGAAAGATTAAGAAACCTCAATGTTCTGTCAATTTAGTAAACTAATCATGCATAAGAAATGGCACAAGAGACACAATAGTGTTGTCTGTGTTGCTTGAGAACAGTGACCGTCTGTGGTGACAACTAGAGTAAAATACAATTCATAGACATGGGGAAAGGACTACCTGAGAAACAAAGCAGTTTTCTGGATAATAAAAGTTATATTCTGCATTCCTATAAGTATCAATTTATTTGAAAGTAAATTGATTTGTAATTTACCATTAGTCATTGAATCAGTTGGGGATGAGAAGAACTTAACTTGGGCTTTACCCAGAAGAAGAAATTAGTTCTGTAGTCCTTTGTCTTAAAGCACAACAGAAATCAAGCCAGAAGAAGATAAAGGATCATGGTTACAATAATCAAATGGTAGCAATACGTAGCTAAATGAGGAGTTGCATAGCCAAGAGCAACAAAGCAAGTCAGACTTCCCAGTCTGGTTATGAGCAGCAAGAGGTGCATAGCACAGAACACAAGTCCAGACGAGAACTCACCAGGTGTTTGGAGCAGTACAGGTACAGGCTTTTATCTGAGATCTTCCTAAAGCTCAGGCCAAAATGTAAAAGCCAAGAGCTATGTTTAAATTCTCCTGAAGTTTGGAGACATTCACAGTCAGCCTGTTGCTTCAGGCCCATTTAAAAAAATCTCTGCTAGTTTTAAGTAAAGGATTAAAGGCTTGAGCTCGGTAATGGCATTTCTCATTCATTCACACTCTACATTGAAGAATGAATATTTTTCTTTCTCTTCCCATGATCTCTCCACTTTTAGAAGATTATTTATCTAGACTGTCTCAGACCTCGCGTTTTAGGTGAACATATAATTTCAATGTACTCAATTTTGGTAGAATTTCTAACTATAGCAAAAAGAAGCTATATTAAACATAACAAGTAAGTATACTTCTGTGGTGGTTTATGTACTATATAATGTACAACATGTTCTGCTAATCATGGATTAATCTCAAACGTGACAAAGATGACCCTTATTTAATGAGGTTAAAAGACTTGGCAAAGATCACATGGCAGGCCTATGGTAAAGCTGCAGACAGCTCTTGCCCACCTTACGGCAAGTCCTAAGCTTTAATCATTAAATAGCATGGTTTTAGGAAGGCTATAAATAGATGTCCTATTGCTGCTTTTGACTAAATATTTTTCTAAACGTCCTGTTTCTGGGGGCATTTTTCTATTTATAAATTCCGGTTTTGCCTTTGTGAGGATCATACATTAGGGTTTGCATTAGTAATGTGAAATATCTGAAATAAAGGTGTATTGGAGCAATGGAGTATACCTGCTAGAATTTCTGAGTATTCTCCTGATAAAGCTGAACTTACTCCTGTTAAGTGGCAGCTCAGTCCTGCCCAGGAGGAAGGGGAGCCCACATTGATTTGCTTTCAGGAAGATCCAAGGAGTAAAGCCCAGGAAATTCATCCCAGTTTCAGAAACAAGAACAGGACAAGAATGGGTTTCCTCTCGGCAGCACATGCACCGTGAAGATTAGGGTGTTGCAGATGTTTTATCCTCACATCTGTCAAAGGGCGTAAAACCCTCAAGAAGAAACAGGTAAGTGGTGAAGGGGGGTTTGCCTCTGAGAGCTGATATGTAAAATGTGATGCCTTCTTTAGAGGAGAAACATAAAGGAAAAGAGACACTGCAATAGCGAGGCTTATTGAAATAATTCCGTGCATGGTTTGTAATGCAAAAAACGGAATTGAGCTGCAAAGAATCAATGCTCAACAAAGCATTTCCCTTGCACCCCACTTTAAAAAACCCGAAAAGCAGCAAGCAGGCAGATGACGGCACCACCCCCTCCCCAAAAACACTCCGGGCTTCGGAGGAACCGCGTGGGGATGTCCGCGGGTGAAGGGTCACGGCGGGCCAAGCCACCGGCGGGGGATGACACGGGAAGGCGACACCAAATCCCCTGAGCGGATCAGGGCCCGGGGGCAGGCCTAAGGAGGCCCCGGGAAGGGTTAAGGGGCAGCCCGGCAGCGGCGCAGCCCCCGGGGGCGGCTCGGGGCTAAGCCGGGCTCGGCCGGGAGCGGCCGCCGAGGGAGCGCCGGGGCCGGAGCAGGTGGGACGGGGCGGGGGGAACGGGGGGCGAGGGGGATAACGGGGGGCGAAAAGGGGATGAGGGGGACAGGGCCCGGCCGGGAACCCCTCCGCTCACACGGGGACGGGGCGGTGCGAGGGGGCAGCCCGCAGCAGGCTGACTGTGTGAGTGTGCACGGGGGGTGAGTGTGCAAGGGGGTGTGCTTGAGCACGGGGGGGTGTGTGCACAAGCGTGCAAGTGCACTTGCGTGTGAGTGCACTTGTGTGTGCACGCATTGTGAGTGTGCACAGGTGTGTGGCTGCACTTGTGTGTGCACATGCTGTACTTGCAGCAAACCGTGTGCCAAAAAAAATAGAGATGTTTATAGATTAAAATGTTTATGGATTTATTCAACCTACTTTGTCCTAAATTGCCGGCGGCAGCCCCTCGCTGCACCTGCAGTAGAGCTCTTCACTTTGGTTCCATTTAGAGCTTTTCTGAATTTAATATTTGCTAATTGCTTAGTTCTGTATCTGGCAAACCATTATTGTTTTAAGGTTACATTTGTAGCGCTTGTAAAAACCCTGGTGGGGAGTGATTGATTTATCAAATCAGCGCAGATCACGGGGTGACAGCCTGCAGACACAGCCAATGCAGTCATTACAATAGCATAGCTGATGGCACACACGACTCGGGGCTGGGATCACACTTGCCTGCTGGTCCTGGAATAACAACTCTTGTTCTTCCTTGCTAGGACGATGGCTGCTGTTGCAGAGCGCACCTTCATCGCCATCAAGCCTGACGGGGTCCAGCGGGGACTGGTGGGAGAGATCATCAAGCGGTTTGAGCAAAAAGGATTCAAACTGGTGGCCATGAAACTGATACATGTAAGCTGTCCTTAACTTGCACATCTCCTTTTCATAGAAACAGCAACCTAAAAATAAAGTAGCAGACAATAATGAGAAATTGACCATTCAGAAAATTTAAACCTGGACTTTTGGTAAGTCTTTGGCTATTTTGGAGAAGTTCCAATTCGCAGCTCTGGCTAAATGCTTTAGACATGCTAAGTATGCTAATTTTAGTAACTTGATGTCCTTAGCCCGAAGAGAATATTCTTTTAGGTGCATCCTATGCCTAATAACTATCTCTGGATATCTTCAACAAATACCAGTTCACATACCCGTGTTAGCAAGAGATCTTTTTTGAGTTCAGGTGTGGTTAAAACAAACAGCTCAAATTCATGTTTACTATAATTACTTACAGGAAGTTGCTAGAAATGATGAATTTTGAGGTGTAGGCATGTTTTAGGATTGATAGTGTTCTGCAGTTAATCTCTCTGATTTCAGTACGCTCTTAAGTTCGTAGAAGAAGCTTTTTGTTTGGTTGTTTTTTAATGCAGGCCTCTGAAGACGTTCTGAGAGAACACTACATTGATCTAAAAGACCGTCCATTCTATGATGGTCTGGTGCAGTACATGCACTCTGGACCTGTTGTAGCTATGGTGAGTTCTTAAAAACAAAGCTTAGCTAAGAAAAATACACTGTTTAGTTGTCTTGCCTGTAAATAAGCTCGTGGTACCTAATGAATACTAGTTTACCTTTGAAAGGATTCAAATAATCAAATAATATAGTTTGGAATATGTACTTCTGACTTGGTTTTTCTATGTATCTTTTTATCACAGTCTTTCTCTCCTTTGATCCTTTGAGTCAGTATGTTGAGGAATAGGGCAGGGGAAAAGGGAGAGCTTAAGCTGAAACTTTTGATAAACAGTAAACCTGCACCCAAAAAATACACCGTGGAATGCCATGTACTAATCAAGCTGAGAAGTGATGATGAAATATTTTTACAGTACTCTCACGTTCAAGTAACTTTGAAAATCTTGTTTAGTCTAATTTAATTAGAAGGAATTTTCCTTTTTTTTTTTTAATTTTTTCCTTTAACAGTGTGTTTGTTGAATAGTTGAGCTGGAGGTTTAGATCTTCAATGAGCAGAGAGCTTTGGAAGGCTGTTTACTGTACTGAGATTTAAAATAGTTCTCTTCCCATCCTTGGGGAGGAAAGGTACGTTGCAGATGGGCGGGGAAGGGCAGAACTGCACTAAACGCTTCAAGAATTTGACAGAGAAATTGGAAATAAAATATGACTCCCTATTAGGAATATAGGGATGGTGACTTGTGTTATGATGGACAGCACTGCACAATTCTGGAAGGTGTTATTAATTCTTGCTACTTTGTCTACTGCAATATAATCTCAATGGATTTTTTTTTTTTTTTTTTTTTACTAAGGTGTGGGAAGGTCTTAATGTGGTTAAAACTGGAAGGGTGATGCTGGGGGAAACTAATCCAGTGGATTCAAAGCCTGGCACTATTCGTGGTGACCTCTGTGTTCAAGTTGGAAGGTATATTTTGAAAGTACTGATTTAAACTGAAGCCCCTAAAGCTCCAATGGTATGTCGTGATACACATAGGAAGAGTGCTCCAGCCTTCTTCATTTTACGCGTGGAGCTGCCTTCCCCAGGATAATGTAACTGGATCTAAAGGTGGAAGTGGAATTGCAGTCTTCTCTTTGACAAAAATGATGAGCAAAGCTGTCATGGCCCACTCCATGCCTATAACTACTTTACAGTTCCTCACGACTTCTCTCTGTAATGGTGACCACTTCAAAATGAAGTTGACTTTGCTTTGCACTTGACGATTGTATTAATTTTATATCCACCTCTTCTTTTTGTAGGAACATCATTCATGGAAGTGATTCTGTAGAAAGTGCTGAGACAGAGATCAATCTGTGGTTCACTCCTGAAGAACTGGTTGATTACAGAAGCTGTGCTCATGAATGGATCTATGAGTAGAACTGAGCCTATACCTTTTGATATCCTTACTATCTCTAATCAGTTGTTATCAGTTATTTTAAAGTCCTTCATATCAACTAGTAGAAACCATTTTCAGAAACCTGTGGTATTCACTGTTGTGAATATTAAATATAATCAGTGTTTGTTGCTGTTTTGGTTAAAAAGCTATCAATTTATGGATAGGATTGTATTTTTAAAAACTTTTTAGCTACCTATGGGAGTGAGAGAGGTGAGATTCAAACACAGAGAAGCAAAACATTCCTTGTTAATAATACAGAACATGTATTTTCCTGAAGTACACTCAACAGAGGTTTGGGATGTAGGAACAAAAAGTGCACTGGAGTCAATGTAATGTATTTATTTCCTTGTAACACTGTATTCATTAAAAGCAGGAGTTTTGTGAAACTACTTGTTCAAACTCCCATATTTTTGCCTACAGTGAGTTGTTGTTTCAAAGAGTAAACTGCAATGAATATTGAATTTGATGCTTATGATACGTTATGAAGGTAACCAACTCCTAATGAGATGCTCCAAAATAAAATATTTGCTGTTTCTTAAGTTAAACAAAAGGTTTGTTCATTATATTGCCTTAGGGCTAATTAATGAGTCTAAGGAGAGGGAACAAATTCCCTACCTACCAAACTGCAGATGATGTTTGTAGCCTGTTTCCTAAAAATAGTCAGTGCTACAGAAGGCAAATAATTAAGTTAAAGGTTGTGAGAACAAAGGGAACACATAACAAACCTGTGCACTGGATGAGTAGTAGTCCTGAGTTCCACTTTTGCCTGAAGGATTAGGTTTCTTTCTCTTGATTGCTTACTACAAAACAGAAATTTGGGAAGAAATGTGGTTCACGTGGAGGTGAGGGGGGTTGTCAGAAAGATACTGATTAGTGTCTAATGCATTTAGACTGAGAGGAGGTGGAAGTTGGCCACCTCTTGGAAGAAATGCAGTATTCCTCTTGCACATCTGAGCTGCCTGACTCAGCGTTTCCAGTTTCACTAATTTAAGTTGCCTGTCAATAGGAGACTGCGTACGTACTGCAGAGGGTATTGCTTTCATGTTACAGCCGCAGTGCTGGTATTGAATTATAACTAGTTCAGGAAGAAAAAACGTAGCTTGTAAATTATATCAGCTAGTAAGCACTTTAAAAAATAATAAAATTTTTCTTTATTCTCATTAAGGTGCAGGTTCAGGAACTGTTAAGTTTTACATGTATGTTTTGACACTTTTCAGCTTCACCTTCTGATATCCTAGCCAAAGAAATATCCCAGGCAACTTCCCCGGCTTCCAGCTACCACATCTCTCTTCTGGGGGACACAACGCCCAGCCGGCCTGAGGTGTGCTGCTTCTGCTGAGCTAATTCGGCCACCACCTGATAAGAGACAGCGGGGCTATCTGTGAAAATAGCCAAGCAAGGCCTCCTAGTAAAGAAAAGATTTAGCACGGCTCAACATCCTTAATCGTCTCACTTTTCACTGTGAAAAACGCGTTTTGATGCCTGGCGTTAGCCGCTGTTTACCAAGCGTTCAGTTTACAGCCCCGTGCTCGGGTCTGCACCCCTGTGGGGGGAGAACGGGGGCAGGAGGAGCAGGGAACGGGAGCCTTGAGGGGCTTCGAGGGCAGCTGTGGAGGAGGCCGGGTGCCTCCGGCTGCCACAGCGAGGCCCCAACAGCTGCCTCCCTCCCGGGCGGGCCGCCAGGCGCTGAGGCAGCGCGGCCACCGCGAGGCCCGGCGGCTGCCCGGCTTCCCCTCAGCGGCCCGGCCCGGCTTCACCTCAGCGAGCAGGGGCTGGCGGCAGCAGGCGGGAGGCGCAGACGAGCCCCCAGCCCCGCCGGGCCCGCCCCTAAGCGCCGCGGGGCGGCCGTGAGGAGAGGAGGAGCCGCCCGCCCGCCTCCTCCTCCTCTTCCTGCGGCGGCTGCGGAGCGGGAGGCTGCGACGAGGTAGGCGGTGGCCGGGCCCTCCGGCAGGCGAGGCCGGAGGGAGAGCGGGATGCGCCGCGCCGGCACCCGGAGCCTCACAGGGGGGTCGGGGGGAGTCGTCTCGCTTCAGCCCCGGTGGCTGCGGAGGGGAAGGGGATGAGGGACGGGAACGGGCCCGGCGCCACGTGGGCCCGGGCGGGGCGGGCAGGGCGCCGCCATGGACGTGGGGCTGCCGGCTGCCGGCCGACCTTGAGCCGCCCCTCGGCACGGGGAGCTGTGTGAATACGCGTGTGTGGGGGTGTAAATGGGGGTGTAAGTGGGGTGTATTCGTGTCCCGCAGCACCATGGCTGCCAACTGCGAGCGCACCTTCATCGCCATCAAGCCCGACGGCGTCCAGCGGGGGCTGGTGGGGGAGATCATCAAGCGCTTCGAGCAGAAGGGGTTCCGCCTGGTCGCCATGAAGTTCGTGCACGTAAGTCCCCGCGCTGCTGGCTCGCTTCTAAACGCCTTCGTTCAGCTGCCACGATAGGTAAAGGTACCATTTTCCTATGCTGTCGTTTTCCCATGCTGCCGTTCTCATATTGCAACGGGAATCTGGACAACAGCTGGACGCCCGTCAGGCTGAGCCTTCTACCAGCCACGAACACCTGAGCTCTTTCTTCCCTTTCCTAAGGAAAGGGCTCTGCTAGCTTAATGCAGCCCCTGAGATGAAGTGACCTCGACTGAAAGGTTGTAGCCAACAACATGCATCAGACACCTTGTCCATAGCTCCTGGCCCAGGATTACTGTAACACAAAAAAGTAATCTTGCCCACTTGAAACACTGAAGGCCCTAATCCCCCCCCCCCCCCCCCCCCATCCTGCACTCCTTTAATTTTATAGCAGGAACTCATCTCCTAACACTAGTAACGTCTTCTGTGTCATGGTATTTTGACAGCAATATATTTAATGTTACATCTGCTCTTTTAAAGGCTTCTGAAGACCTTCTCAAACAACATTACATTGACCTGAAAGATCGACCATTCTACCCTGGTTTGGTTAAATACATGAACTCTGGACCTATTGTGGCAATGGTATGTGGCTTGTTTTTTTTTTTTTTTTTTTTTTTTTTTTAGAAACTGCTTTCTTGAGTGTATTTGTCCCGTGCTGCAAGTTGTTTTAAAATAGTAAGATGTACTGGTTGTTACAGGAACGCTACAAAACTGCTTAGTTGTGATACTAATACAATTAAGACAGTTTAGTGTGAGTTCTTTATTAAAAAGAAGGAAGATGTGCATGTTTAAAATGCCAGTTAAAATACTTGAAGATTCTTGACAGCTTCATTTCTGCCCCAAAGAACCTTCTACTGGGGGGGGAGGAGGAAGAGAGAGAAGTTTAGTTACTGCTTTCTTCCATAGATGTTCATCTTCTGTGTCATTCTTTATGCTTTCCTCAGAACAATCAAACCACCCTAGAAGCATCTCGTGACTAGAAAACATACATGTAACTACACATTCCTGCAAGTCTTTGGGTTGTTCATTTTCTAACAAAAGAGAAGTGTTTTAAGGTTGGCTTTACATATCAAGTAATTTTAAGGCTTGTTAAGGTATTTCACATAACTGGAATGACAGTGCCGTTAAATTGGAATTTCTTATCTAGGGAGAACTTTTTTTAAATGTTTTTCCCCCTCTTTAAACAAGCTAAGGAGAGAGTCTAGACTTTTTTTTTTGAGATAAAACTCTTATTTCTTTACAAAATGTGAATTATTACTAAAGATTAATCCTTGAAATGTTGTAGATGCAAGAATTAATAGGTTTGGTTTGTCTTGTCTTTTTCTTGTTTTTTGTCCCTGAAGGTATGGGAAGGCCTCAACGTGGTTAAAACTGGTAGAGTAATGCTAGGGGAAACCAACCCAGCAGACTCAAAGCCTGGTACCATCCGTGGTGACTTCTGCATTCAAGTAGGAAGGTTTGTGTGCTCAGTATCAATGTTATTGAGAAACTTAATAGTGGTAGTCTTTTCTTCAAGAAAGTCAAATTATTGATAGATACACTAGCCTGATTCTTTTTTATTTGCAGGTTGCATTTTGTAACAGCTACTTAGGAAAATGGCTTGGTATAAAACTTTTTTTTTTTTTTGAAATACTCATTAGCTACTCATCAGAGCTTCATGTAAGATCAGTCAGTGGCATTGGCTGCTGTAGTCAAATAGCCCTAGTCCCCCCTGCTAGGTTTAATTAGCTCTTACAGTGAGGCTGTTTAAGTACTATAGCTGACATAGTAGCCCTGTAGCTCTAGGTGCTTCATCCACGTTTTTCCATTTACTACTAGGTTACTAAATTTTTTTTCTCCTACAAAACAGTATTTGTCTTCTTCCACAGAAACATCATTCATGGCAGTGACTCTGTAGAAAGTGCTCAGAAGGAGATCAACCTGTGGTTTAAACCTACGGAACTCGTTGACTTCAAGTCTTGTGCACACGACTGGATCTATGAGTGAAGTGAGCTTCCACAAGGAATTGGGCCTCTTAACGTGTCATCTCATTCCAGCCATTGATCTGGGAGCAATTATCACCACGGTTAGCTTAGTCATTTTTCAGCATTATCAAATAAAAGGATGATACAAACTAACTCCTTGTGGTGCATTTACTGTGACAGACTTGTCCTATTGAACTACTCAGTAAAGTGGGATGAGTATTTCAGTATTTTCCCTGTGCACAAGGTAGAGTGGTGTTAGAATACCGATTTCCCTATACAGGTATTTAAGCATAAAACTTTGCAGTGAATGGTCACTGAAGTTGCTTTGCAGACTACTGAAACACCTTCAGCTGCAGTCCAAAGCCAACTTGCAGAGGGAAGGGGTGGGGGCGCTACTTCAAGCATGGAACTACACTGAGAAGAATGACATTATCCCGTGACAAAATTTCTATCCTGATGCACAACTATTTATATCAGCTGTGAAATACAAGGCCAAGTACGAAGCTTGCACTGTATTAAATGCTTATCTAGTGCCCCAATCCCCTTTAAGAAAACAACATACAGGAAGAGATTTTTTAACATTTTTATTTTGTGTAAAAAAAGGCAAATTTAGTGAATTATTTTCATCTTGTACACAAAGTTATAATTTTAATGCTTTTCACATCCATGCTGAAAATCTGCGGTCTCATAAAAATGAAAGGAACATTAATTTCTCCAAAAGCATTTTTTCACTTAGTTATGTACATTGCATGAGAAAGTTTTAAATACTCTCTCATTGACCACACAAATTACCAAGAAAATAAAAGATTAAATTTGTACAGATATTGATTTATATATCAAATACATACAGAAATGATGTAAAAACCCTATCTGTTTAATCTTGATTCCCGCCCCAATGTTTTCCCAGGGGCCAGAGCTGACGCCTTTTGTATAAATGGCTGTGGCTTTTTGTTTTAAATATGAAAATTAAAAGGAAGAAAAATTCAGTTTAAATCACAGTTTTTTTAAAATCCCTTCCCAATAAAGGATTGTTACCAAATATATTAGCACCATCGTACAAATATTGACGGGAGAGGGTATTCACATCACATAAAACAACAATCATAAAAAACAAACAAACACTGAAACCCGTGTTAGTATCCGTAGAACAAAGAATTGATAACTGCTTTAGCTTTCCTCAGATGCAGCAAGGAAAAGGTTAAAGAGTTGTATTTAAAATAACAGATCAGCAGAAAGATTCTGAGCAACAGAAGGGCAGCTGCAAAGGTGCATAACTTGTGCTACCTCATGGTTAAAAAAAAAAATTGCTATGCCAAATAGTGAAGTTTGACCCCATTGAAGATTTCAGATGTCTAACACTGCTCTTCCTTTAGCCAAGTAACATGGCTTAAAGTGAAAATAAAAAATACCTAGAGCCATGTTACTAACGAATGCTTTACAAATACAGTGAAGCCTGTACTATGGATACCACAGGCAATCTGTAACCCACTTTTTGGGGAATCTATTCTCAATACCTAGAAGACTTTTGCTCAGCCTTTCCTTAAACCTATCCTGAGCAAATGACTTCAATTAATTCCTCACATGGTCTACTTAGGACAGATTTCACTATACTTGACAAACAATGTGGGTATATTTTGAATTCAGAAACAGAGGAGAGATTTCATCCGTAAGTCTCAACAAGCAACTTCTAGCGTAGTCACCTGTGTATGTGAGAATGCAAGTCAACTCCTGTACTTTAGTGTTTTAATTAAAAGTATACCTGTTTTTAAAGAACATTATAAAGACTGACAGACTTCAAATCTGATTCTGTTATCCTTCCAACACAGGAAGTGTGTTCATCTTAAGTGCTATTTTTGCCTCTTCACATTTGAAGACTATAGCTCAAAAGTCAGACATGACTGGGAAACCAAGTTCTGAGTCTGGGCAATATGCAGAAGTCCAAGGTTCCAGGTTTCCTGGCTTTGCAATATACCTTGCTCATTATAGCCCAAGTTTTCACATTATGAAACACAAATTAATGCAAATTTTTCTACTGTATTCAGAAGCTATCGATGAGAGAAGAATGCAAGACTGTGCCAACCTCATTCCAGCTGTGACAATTTGCAAGTTGTCACATTAAAAAAATAAAACAATAAAAATAATAATCATAATAAAATGAATATTCATGTACTTACCAAACCAAAACAATGCTTGCAGAACTGGATTTTACAGCAGAATAAATGGAGAGCACAGGAAAATAAAAATCAAGGCTCACCAAAGTGTCATTAACAATGGTCTCTAATCCTATTTCTCCAATCCAGGCTGTTTAAAAGAAATGTCACGTGGGTCAGAATCTGAGAAAACGTATTTGAAGTCTACCAACCGTGATAAAGTCCTTTCACTGTGGCTATTTTAGAGAGCGAAAGTGTCTTTACCACCTGAAGTTACAGAAACGTAATAGTCTGATAACCAGATTCTGTTCATGTAAGAAGCTGTTGTTAAAAGGGGGTCAGTATTAAAGAAATTTCACTAGTAAGGGAGGAGAAAATTCCAGACATTCCTACGCTATACAGGACATTTTTTAATTCCAGTAGTAAATACAAAACTTTACATAATTAACCCCTCTTGCATAGAATGAGGTAAACCTGTGCATATTACCAATACTATGTACCCAAAGTTAGAGCAATATTTTAGAAAATAATCAAATTGCTGGTTTTCAACTTTCTATGCACTTTTTTTTTTTTTAATTCAAACAACAATATACAAAAAAAAATGGTCTCCTGGGGCTATGTGGGTTGATATCCTTAAAGCATTTCTTAGGCTGTAGGAACAAAAAAATTACTTTTTTTTTTTTTTTTTAAGCCCTAACTTATAGTCAAGAGTCAGATGATCATTGTACTGCTCTGAAGGGGACCTACGAAGACCCAGAAGCACTTATAGAACATATGCAATTAATTCCTGAGAGTTTAGTTAATGAACCTTACTGGTAAAAGCTAAAGCTCTTGATGCACATTTTTCCAGTCACAGCTCTGCAGGGCTGATAAATAACTTCACTAATCAACTCCATAAATGAAGCCATCTAAATAAACATACAAAGTTTAAAAATATGGAAATAAAATCCAAATAATTCAGAGTTCATGCAAAAGTACTTTGTATTTTACTATTAGCCATTTTCACCCTTCTGCGTGACTTTTGCCTTTAAAACCACTGGACAGTTAAACAGGTGGGGTTAATGGGATACTCGACACAAAGATTCCAGGCAATAAGCAAATCCAGTTTGTGAATTATATGCTAGGTTGTATATGATTTATATACTTTCCAAATCTCAACTTCCATATTATACTACTGCAGCAAGAAAGGAACTCTGTAGGCTGTGCAGGCTGTGAACTTTTTCTTTTCTTAATTTGCAATGCTTGGCTCATTTTAGCTCAACTGAAATCACATGGAATATCAGTTTTGAATGTTCAGAAATAAATATTTAAGATGGCAAGGAAACATCTAGGTCTTTCTGAATGGAAAAAAAAATAATCAGAAGAATACTCCGAAGTTCCTTCCCACTCCCAAGGGAAGGCCTGAGTTACTAAGTAAGTTTCTTTAGCCTAAATTCAGAGCTAAACTTAATCTTCCAAATGTGGGAATTTTCTGAAGTTCCAGTTTGGCATAGGGCTCTGTAAACAGTTGCTGGAGCATTCCAAGACTACACACATCCACGTACAGACAAGAGCTTTATAGTCCCAATCCAATGCCCACTGCAGTCACTGAAGACAAGGCTACTGATATTAATGGGCACTGATTCAGACCCTAAGGAACTTTTTAAAATTACAAAACGTCTTATATAAAAAAAAGCATTTAAAACTAAATAAAAACATCTTGAAAAGTTAAAAACCTCCCTCATGTGATGGCTCCATTGCAACTGGGGCTACTCACTGAGTAGAGCTTTACAGAACTATCTTCCACATACAATTTATGCCTCTAAATCAGAGCTTAAATGCCTTATTTTCACCATAAGAAAACAGAGGCGTGACCAGTGCAGTTCGCAAGAGTCTGTAAGTCTCCCAACTTGTACCAAAAAGGTTCATTTGTCATGACAGTTCATCTGTACTTGCAACTATATCTTCCTCCAACCGCTTCCCACAATCGTGCTAATTAAACTTTAATCTTACCAAAAAAATTAGATTTTCAGTTCTTGTTAACAATGCACAATAAATCTGAACTTGAAAATATTACAAAATTCTTTCAAAAGCTTCAAATACAACACAAAAGTGTCCATTCTTGTTTTTAATAAATTGAAAAATCTTCTTTCACTAAAATAGTTTCCCCGCCCTTCCAAAAAATTCTGAACTGAGTCTAACTCTTCTACAGTTAGCAAAGTGCCCCAGGTACAGTCATCCAAACTGCACCATCAAAGTGGGAACAAGATCAGTCAGTCTTGGAGAAAGGCTCTTTTCCTATCACCAATAATCTGCCCCTCACTTTTCTGAGCTGCTTTATGGTTCTTGTTTAATGTAGTAACTGGCAGATCCGTTGCTTTCCTGATCAGATGCTCCTTGAAGGAAGCTATATTCTTCTCCGTCTAGCAACTCCTCCTTCAGCTGCAATGAAGACACTAAAAACAAAAGACGAACATTAAAGATCTGTAACATTGAAAAGAAGTAAACTTGCTCTTAAATTTACTTTATATAATTTAAATTGGCAACAGCTCCAAGATTTCCCATTTTCTTACATTCTGCATTTTAGTGGTTGTTCTTTTATCATGCAATATCCCACAGAAAACAGAACTTTTCTGACCTTACACTGAACTTTGTTATGCTCTAATATTAATACATGTGAGTGAGCAATTCACAATCATATATTCTCTATATAATTTTTCTTCCAAGAATTTACTATTTTAAAACTCTGGTTTAAGAGGGCAACAAAATGTTGCTAAGAAGAATTCTTTTTTTTTTTTTTACTGCTCACTTTTTTGTTTACTGTCTACTTCCAATTTAGTCTTTAGCCTAGTTACAATGAACTAGTTGCCATTTCCAATCTCAGAATCACATTACTTGCCTGATTACTGTAAACAGTCTATACAAGACAAGAAAAAACATTGATAAGGATTTCTTAATATATCATTAAATTTTTAGGATCCCAGAGGTTTCATTCAAGACATTTTTAGTAGTTGTAATCTTCTCCCATTTCTTTTGTATAAAGAAGATAGAAATGAGACCTGAGACATAGAAAGAACGATGTTATGAATAGCAATAATGTCACAATTACTTCTCCAATTTCACTAATGGACAGTGGTAATTATCGAAATATGAGCACAATGAAAAGGACACTGAAAACAAAGTATGCCAGTACTTTCATTAAAGGTGCAGTACCCACATTAAAGGGTTGATTATACAATAATAAATGATTTGCTGTGACCAAATGAATGAGAAAACTACTAAAGTTTATGATTACTGAATATAAAGTTTATATGCACATCAATGTACCTTGAAATGCAGAAATATTATGCAGTGAAACTAAAAATAAATTCCATAACCTGTTACTAGTTGTAGCCCTGCTATAACTTACAAGCCATTTGATAATTCTTTTATTATTTTTCTGTCATCTTCCATGTTGGAAACACTCGTGCTAAATAAAAATAAAATTTGAAAATAAAGATATTAAAAAACGTCCAGAAGTTGCAACATAACACAAGCTCTCCTCATTTATTTAACAGAAGCCCTCTCACTGGCTACATAGCCCACACTCTCTTGCCTTAAAAAACAAACAAAAAACCACTTCTCCCTGCATTATGTCCAGCTCTGATCAAGAGCTCTAGTCTGTGGAGACAACAAAAGTGCTGTCTAAATCGCAAGACACACAATTGTTTACTTGGGTATGCTGCTAGTACCGTAAGCAAAGGCTACACCCAAAATATCAATACAGCACGGAGCAATGGTTTATATGTAGACAAGTAGGGTGAGTCTCTCAGAGCAGCCTCCTTCTCCAAGACACTGGCTGTTGTCTCTTTTTAAAGTGATGCTGTTCTACAATTGCATTTCAGTGCTTAAGGATCATTTCATATGACTCAAAGTTGCAAATCTACATCGAAGAAGCAGCACAACTTCGGAGAGAACAAAAGCACTTTGTATTCCAAATGCTATGAGGCACTACTGAAACCTTCTCCAACATGTGGCAGTAGGAAAGGAGAAAAAGACATTTAGTGAATCTTACCAAGTTCTCTGATAGACAAGAAGTTTTACAGTAGGTATCTGTCTTGTCAGTAATCTTCCACTACTTTCATTCTAAGCCATACAGGTATTTCCTGCAAAGTGCCTACATCCTAGCTATGACTACCAAAACATAAGGCAGTGTTAAATGTTACAGAATAGATATGCAATTTATTAATTATGGCTGACCTCAAATGTGTTGAGCTTACATGTTGTTGGGGTATACTTCCCTCTTCCCTAGACTTAAAAGGTGTGTTTTTTCTGGTTTCTATTTAAACACCTTTGATCAAGGACAAGGCTACACCACAAAACTAATTTTGTCCCAACACTTCAAAATTCAGAATTTTGGCATCTGAAAAGTTCCTGAAGATGTTAATGGAAAGCATCAGGTCCCAAAACCCAAAGAACACCAGGGTTTTGTAGGAATTCAGAGATCTAATGACACACAAAACTCAGCATGTGCACGTCAGTGCACTAAATAAACACCTGAGCTGTAGATTTACAGTCAGAGAAGACAAGTTGTGCAAAAAACACAATCCAGAAATCCTCTCTCCTGCACCAGGCTTACAGCATCCTTGGTACAAAAGAGAAAAGAGACATTTCTTTTTACTTCAGTTTGCTACTCGTGTACATCAGTTACTGAGAAACATTGGGGGGTACACAGAAGAGAGTCGAGATTTGTCCTCCAAGCTTTGAAAAGGCATGTGGGTTATAGCATCCCAGGCCATGAAAGTATACCACATGGACAAAGGAACTGTTCTGGATGTACTCTGCAGTCAATGAAAAGTGGCAACACCGCAGCATAATCAGACTAAAGAAAGTTTTAAAAAACGTAAATCAAGGAAATTTGAAGCTGTATGTATTAACCTGGCAACTGTCCTGCACGTAGAGCACAATCTGGTTTGTCTGATGGATTGTACCTCTCCACTTTATCAGTTAGCGATATTTAGTGTATCTGCTATACTTCCATACATAATAGGAAAAGATGAGAGGAAAAGCTACCAGATCTTGTATAGTAATCTATACTGAAAAAAAGAGTGAATACATTACAGAAGCTATCCTTAAATAAGCTCAAAATTATAATATTTTTATGTATTTTAATATCATAAAAATTTAATAAAATTTTAATATCACTGATGATTTTAGTGTTTTTCTCTGCTCACTCATATAGTTGCATGATTATACCATTGATACTTAAACAGAACAGATTTTATAGCAAAGAGGGAAAAAGACTCATCTTAAAGGACAAACTAATTTCAAATATAGTTTCTACATTAGTAACTCACAAAATGTCAACTAACATCTCCATTCTCCAAGGATGTTTATCTTTTCCCAGATAACTGTCTTTTTCTGACATAAAGGCAAATATCACTCCTTATCTATTATGTACTGCTATTTTCTCTACAAAAGATGTTGCACACTAACTTACTGCTGTCAAATATTCCCAAAACACACTGCCATTCAGTTAGGCTTAACAGAATGCACTTCTGTATTTTAAAACTTTGTAGAGCTCTTCTGTCCCCCAATAACCTTCAGCTGTCCTGCTATTAAGTTTTCAAACAATTAGAGTCCTTTTCTACTACAATTAATTCAGTGATATGGTGCATCAGTGAGAATGAAAAGCTCTCTAAGGGTGGGGTGGGGGAATTAAAAAAAAAATAAAATAAAATAAAAGAAAGAGAAAGGAAAAAAACAGAGTTGATGAGTCAGCATGTTCCTTGCTAGCCCATGCTCAGTTCCCCACCCTGTCCATCACTTCCCTCTGCAGTAAGCAAGGCTGATGTGTCTAGTTACCTGTTTTGAGGCTGGGACTGAAATCTTGGCTAGTCCTGGGAGGCTGGAAGGCCTCCGGGGCTGTCTGTGCTGGAAGGGTTCGATATGGAGGAGGAGTCAACTCGTCATCACCAGAGAAGCTCCTCCGCACCCCACCTGCCATGGGTAGGCTGGACAAACTGACAGGTTTCTTCCCAACTGGTATCTTCCTCTCTAAACATCAAGTCAAACTACAATAAACGCTTGGGTTAAAGTGCATTAGGTAACTCAGACTGTTCAACTGAGAAATGGCTCTGCTTCGTGTTCACAGATTCTGGAAAATGAGGGCCTTCATATACAATGGTACCATTTCCTTATTAGTGGGCATATTCTTCCATTTCTCAACCACCACATTTTTACTTACTGAATTCTAGAGACTGGATGGTAGGACTCTATGCACATCATGCTATCAATTAAATGCAACTGCTGTAAATTCCTACTGCTGCAGCTACGCCACACAGTCACTATACAATCCTCTGGTCATACAGTTTGAAGCTGTAGTTGTTTCTGTGTGTGTACCTAGCAGAGACAGGAAATGTGGTTCTTGGAAAATAAATCCAGTCGAGACAAGATTTATCCTCTCCTAAAGCCTAGGTTTAAAAATATATACGCATGGTTACTTTAGAATGATGCTTACCATTTTTATAGTGCCTTATGAGCATTGATGAGCCTTTTGGTGTTTAGAAAATTTATTTATTTAATTAAATTTAAATTCCTTTAAATTAGTAAGCATTGCTTTCATGAAAAAATGTTATGAAACCATTTTCCATGCCAGTTGTGGATCTGTTCCTCCTATGTTACCTAGGAGACGCTCTGATTCCGTGACTGAGGAAACCGCTCATTACAATAGCAGGGATGCAATCACTTTAATACATCATCTCCAATACTTTGAGCTATATCAAAACCAAACACTGTAATGCTCAAGTATTCTCAGCACAGTCAGATAAAGACCGTATCATTAACAAAAGCCTATCCCTTAAAGTAAAAAAGTAATGAGACTATGCATGCGCTCAAGGTATCACACATACATTTTTCTTACTAGAAGGCTTCAGTGTGGGGACCCCAATTGAGCTTTTTAGATAGTAGGAAGCTGGAACAGGCATAACTCAGTTTAGCTTCAGGTCCTACTCAGGTATCTTTTTTTTTTCCCTGTCCCAGTCCAAGGGCCTCTTTCGTTATAGCTAGATCTGTGATAGAACAAAAATTGGTGGATGCAGCTTATTTCAATACAACACCTACCAGTCAAAGATTTAAAGATTTGAAATAAGGGAGATTGGTGACAGGTGAGTTTTTATTTTTAGCTCAGACAAAGTTGTCTATTTTTTTTTCCAGTAACCTCAAGATTAATTGATTCCCTGAAAAAAATATTTAATAACTATTCTGATTGAAACCAAATTACTTTAAGATACATCGGCAGCTGTCTATAGACCCACTGTTCCATGTTTCCAATGAGGACTTTCTCAGAGGCAGTTAGTTCACCTTGTACTTTACAATTGAGTGTTTGAACTGTATGCGAGTATTTTCCCCCTCACTGCGTTTAAAGCTGTATTTTTATGAAATTTTACCTTACCTTATTTTCCTCTCACACCCACTCTTTACGTAGGACCTGTGGCCAAAGGCACTTGAAAACCCTTAGAAATCCACCTTTGGAACTCTGATGACAGCAATGGCAGTAACATTGAAATCATCAAAATTCATGCTTTGTTAGATAAGACTGGCCAGAAGTTAGAAAGACCTCAAAAGAAAGCAGCTGTACTTCACATATATAGAATAGCATAGTTCAGATTTCAACAGCCTCTGTATTATAAGGTCAGTTTTAAAGGGATGGGGGAAAACTGTTCTGTCTTTCAGACTTCAAATTTTAGTTCTATTCTTGAATGAACTCAAGTCTCATAGCAAAAAAAATCTCTGGAAATAAGCCTAAAGAAGTCAAGATTGGATTCTAATAGTATGAAAAGCCTAACTTTCTTGCTTAGAACAGGATTTTGTATAATGAAATCTCTCCAGATATTACCTTATGGACTATTAAAGATTTTTAGTTTGGTTTGCTAACTTGTAGGGGAATAAAAAAAAACAAACTTTAAACATTACCAAAACTGTTGATTTTATTATTTTCTAGGCTGTCACACTAGAAAATAGTTTGACCAAGAAGCAAGGCCAAATGAAGACAACAGATTATAGACCTTTTCTGTAGCTGATCTGTCCATGTGTTAGCAACATAAAATACTGCACCTTCTTTTCAACACTCCACTCTTTCTAAGAAAACACCAAAAGAAAGAATCTGCATAAAGAGCTGATGCTCCAAATACAAATAAACATAGTTAGACTGTTCTGAACTAAGCCCCTGACTTCTATCAAACCATTCTTATGTGGCAGAGCTGGTTCTTCTTTCAGGACAGAAAGCAGAGCTGATTTTCAGTCGATGATGGGAAAAGGCACAAGGTCCTCTTGTGACTGGCTATCTCTGCTCCATCTATTTTACTCATACAAAAAAGACTTCCTGCTTAAACAGTTAGTGTCATGGAAATAAATATGGAGGAATGCAAAATGTGCATTTGTGCAAAAGAAACTTCAAATTGGTTGTGATTTTAAAGAAAAATTGATCCTGAGGGAAACAATAACTATGGGAAGAACCTGAGTAGTTCTGTTAAAAAGCTCAGATTCTTAAAAATTGTCATTACAATGTTTTACTGTGACAAGAACAGTCACAAATTGCAATGCTATTTATTGTCTCTGAAAGTAGTCACACAAAAGTAGTTTTATTTACATACTGCTTCCCACAGATGTCTCATCAAAAAAGTTGCTTTTTCTTTTCAAAAGGAACCAGCTAGACAGTAATTACAATTTTCTACATGTAGTTCTTTCAGATTCAAGTAACTTGAATCTTATTTTTACATCTGTTTTACAAAAGCAGAGTCAAAACCGTATTAACGGATACCTGAGGATTTTGTATAAGGCACTCTTGCAACTTACTTAACGTATTCTTTACAATAATGTCTGGATTCTGAAAATACTATAACATTTATCCATCTACTATTCACAGATGATTAACAGTATCAATCCTGTTGCAAGTTAAATATAGATATCTATGTTCTTAGTTATTTTAAGAGTTCCTTTTATGGCATACTGCACCTTTAAGCTTAACATCTGTTTTACACACAAACAGCACTTCCAAATAGAAAAGGGACTTAAGGAGAGACCACAAGCTTTTTAAACAATGAGAAAAACGCAAATGCTATTTTGTCACCCACTTTTCTTATGTCCTTTGTACTGTTGCGATTTTGATTTTTTCTTCTGTTTTGATGAACTTGACTGGTTATCTCTTGATGCTGCAAAAAAAAATAATTAGGAGTACAAAATTAAAGTTTACTACTTTGAAAAAAACACTTCAAAATGTGTCAAAGCTGCTATAGATTTCTCCGTAGTGACTGAACGAAAGCAGAACACCTTTATTGAGGAAAAAAAACCTCTCATTAAACTACTAACAGTAACTAATATTACCTTCCCAATAAACAATTAACAGTTCTTGAAACACAATTATCGTTTAACTTGACCTGACAGGCCATGTGTTGATGCAGGTAAATGAACTGTAGTCTTCTCACATAAATACTTATGCAAGTGAATAACTATGAACACACTGAGTTCCATTAAATTCAGTATGTAAAGCACATATACTTGCAAACTTCATGTAATATAAATTCTGTCTCCAGACCTTGTAAGTAAATAACATTTTTTTTTCCTAGATTAAATAAGCACTTGGCAGTAAAAATAGAAAAACTTAGCCACAGAAATGCTGAGAAGTACTTTGAAAGTCAATGTGGAAGAGATTAGAACTGTGCACTCCTGTGCATTAACAAGAGTTTGTTCCATTTTTGTAATGCCTGGTGACCTAACTTGGAAAGGATGCAGTTAAGAAAATCATAACATGTCGATAAGGACCAGTAAACTGTTTTTATTTACATGACAGAACTTACACTGTGGTGCTGGAGGCTGTAGTTGATATCCAGTTAGCTGACACCATCCCACTGGATAGAGGTCTGGGGACTCGCAATCCACCCACTGATCATATTCATCTTCCCACCCATCAAAGTGTATCCTCAACAGACGATGGATAATGCGAGTTACTGTGGCCACACATACCAGGCGAGGTTCCATCAGATCAACAGCCTCCAGTTTCATTCCAACATGAAACCCATGGTTTGGAACTTCCTGGAAAAGTAAGCACATTGGCAAGTCGAATATCAACAAACAAACATGTTATATCACGTTATATCACGTTTACACATGAGTAAAGCACACTCAAAGCAAATATCAATTATGAAGTTTCATGTTGCCCTGTATTTAACATTTCAGAAATATTCAAGCTTACTATACTCAAACGGTTCCTATTTCTAAAGAGTCCCTGTTGCCCTAGTTTTCCCCAATTCTGCTCAAAGAACTGGGTCAATCCCATGGAGTACGCAGACAAATCTAAAGAAAATACTAACTGCACTTCAAATACACATGCATAATATTTATTACCTTATTGAAGAGCTTTACAGGTGCTGCTATTGAGTCAGTTTCCCTGAGGTAGTCAAACCATTTGAAAGGGAGTTTTGCATACCCTGTGAATTTTAAACAACATTTTCATACATCAACTGCAAACTTCACGCATTGAAACATCAACAAGAACAGTATATTGGCACTGTGTTATGGCTAAAAAGACAACAAAGAAGCAAAATATTAACATCAGAAACTTCCACTCTCTGAGCTTTCGTCTAAGGGACAAGACAATCAACCGGACACTGCCCATTTGCAACAAAGATGAATGAACTTCTAGATAATACAGAAAGTGTCATTTGATGTTAAGATTAATCATTCACACTTGAAGCTTTCTGTCCACGTAGATCCTTGATCTCTACAAGCCCCACACAAATGACCCAGAACAGATCATGTAATTAAGCACATCCAGTGTCTTTCCTGTGGGGAAAGAGCTCCACTATTGAAAAATTTGATGCGTTAGGAACAGACTTGTAAGAACATGTAGAGATATTTTAAAACTTAAATAATGAGGTTAAAGATAGCAAGAATAGGATAAATTACAAGATTTTTTTTCCAATCTTAAAAGCTATTGTAAAGGTAAGAAAATTTCTTTTATATTCAGATTTTGTTCATCTAATGAACATGCCTAAAAGATGTAGGACTTCTTTGTTTGTTTGGTTTTACTTTGGTTTGTTTGGTTTTCTGTTTGTTTGCAACTCCTACAGCTGCTTAGATTCTCAAATTCTAACTCTTGTAGCAACAACAGCTTGAAAGATTTCTTTGTGGTAGCATGCAATGTTGGACATTCTGAACAACCATGGTGCATTGGGTATAGCATGGGGAGAAAGCTATGGGAAATGCTTTCATCTCATTTGAGTGTGGGTAGAGAGCTCCCACTGAGTCACAGCTCAGTACTGAAGGGCCAGACTCAACAGGTAGCTGCCACTCACAACACAAAATACAATCTCAGCCTTAGAAGTGTCTAAGCATCTTCAGCTTCTGCTGATTTCAGCAAGGGATCAAGATGTTTGGAAGGAATGAGCTTACAAACAAGAAGTCCAGTAACTTCATATCAACTCATTTAAGTTATCCACATAGCTAACTGTAATTTGAAAAAGGGTGTTCACATCAGGCATGTGGTATCTGCGTGAATAGATGTAGCTGGATAGCTAGCAATCGGTAATGGTAGTAATATATCACTTTTTGCGTGCTAATACTTTTCTCATTTATGTACAGTTCCTCTGGCTAGACCAACATATCTGTATACGAGCCCTTTAATTTACTTCTCACCACACAGAGACACGTGCATGTGGTCTGTGTTAAAGTAGTCAGATTTAAGAAACTCCCTTTTCTAGCTCATAATGTCAAGAGTGGAATATACATCATAAGAACTAAAACTCTGGTCATTTTGATCCTATTAAATCAGTAACAAAATGCTTAAGTATATTAATGAATTTTATGGTCTGTATTTTACTCCTAACTCCTCTTTCAAATGACATTTAGATTAATGCATGTGTGATTTTAAATCGTCTCTCAGCAGACGATAAAGGACTGTTGTGGAAAACTGCAATAAAAGGGGAAAAAATACATGTAGGTAAAAAAGTTGCCACAATACAAAAAAACAGTAGTATGGTAAGGTGTAAATAATACAATTTGCACACTGTGTAAATAATGTTTGAAGTGTAAAAAGGAGGTCATCATAAAAGGGAATGTTTTCTATTCTGTACCATTTAATGCATTTATTTCTAAACTAAGTGATATTGATATACACACTTTTTCCCCATGCAACAATGATTATTATTGCAAGGGACTCCTGCAGCACATTTTTTGAGGAGTGATCATGCCCATGAATTCTTATGCAATAAATTCACTAAATGAGCTGACTGAAAAAACAGTAAATCTGTCTAACTGCAGTTTACAAATACTTAAGGAACCCTTTAGTGTGCAGTAATGAAAATGATATGAAATTATTTTCTTCGTGTGTAGTTACCTAGAAAATCATTCAGTAAATATAAATAGAAGCCTGCAAGAAGGAAAATGAAGGAAAAAATCCATAAAAATCATTTGCTGTGACACACCTAATTGCAATCCTCTTTATAAATTGCTGGAGCAAGATAATAAAATGGAAAGATGAAGGCAGTAAGATATTTCTATAGGCACATATGCTAGTGGACAGACAGCTTTTTCCTTGCAGTAGGGATTATGAAGCATACAGCTCTAAAGGCTACTTCCCTGAAGTTCAAGTTTGTGCATATTCCTAGAAATTTCCTGTCATTGTCATCAATTAACCTAAACTTGAGATAATTTAACAATGTTTGTTCATCCTCTGGCAGTCAGGACAACCCAAGCAATGACACAGTATGAACTGCTCAGTGACTAACATATTTACACTTCCCATTCACTTCATGGCTATACTATTCAAGTGGCTATCCTCAATTTATGACAGCAAGAGGAGATTTTAGTCAGTGATTTATACAGATGTTCAATTTCACTTTTTCTAAACTAAAGTTTTTCTTTGTTTTAAGATTACTTTGAAGTTACGCTGTTGTATTTGTTTCTGACTTGAGTCCTAAAAAGTGACATGAATTTTGTAGACTGAATTAAGAAACAAAGCATATGGCACATACAATATCACTGAAAAAATATTCAAAGTAAAATGTGGTCAGAATGCTATATGTACCTCTGGGTGGAGTTAGTTCAATCATGTTAATTTCACAGAAACCAACAGGGAAAATAGAAGGGGAAGTGGCATGGTAACAAAACCAATCAGACCCATCTGCTGCTTCTGAGCCATCAATCCCAATCATAAGATAGCCATCTGCTAAAACCTTTGTAAAGAAAAACAAAATTTTACATTAAATACCTTTAACTGTGTGATAAGGCTAGAAAGAAAGCATGCCATGTTTCAAGAGTGAAAAAATAACTGAGTAATAATGAAAATACTTAGAAGAACATTCAATTATAATAAAACAAACAAAAAAATCATACCTGTCTCCACGATGGTGTATGCTATTGTCAAATGTACCTTTGTTAACTGCAAAGTTATGAGATGAATATTTCCTTTCACTGAGCTCTAGTTTGTTTATTTCTCTGAACACCACTTCTACTTTTAAAGCTTTATAATTCAGTTTACTCTAACCTGTAAGGATATTCTGCACACTATTAATAAAAAAAAAAAAAAAGATTCAAAATAATTACCACAATCATTGGTAAGGTTATTCTAGGCTGCTCAGCTACTTTTTAATTTTTTTTTCCCCCTTTTAGTAAGAATATTGCATGTATGGGGTCCTTTTCAACTATGCTAGGAAGAAAAGATCATCCTTGAAGTGTCTTCGTAGCCTTCAGCAAGTAAGCAAGATGAGGCTTTATTTCATTTTGGAACGGAATTGCAAAATTTTTAAGATAGTTAGCAGAAGACTGTCCTGAAAATTAATCTCACAAGCTATTACATCCAAATTAAAGATAAGGCTGAATTTCCAGAGATCAAAAATGAAAAAGTTACATGAGTATATTCCTTTTCATAGTACTTGCATATAAACAATTAATGGATGCATTCAATAAAAAATTAATTTATTTTTTCTTTGTTTCAAACCTGAATAAAGGTAAATGAAAAACAGACTCCTGTCTATCTTCCCCTTACACACGTTTGTTTTCTTACCTTTCTAATAGTTGCCACACATATTGCTGAAAGGTTTAAGGGGTCTATAGCTTCCAATTTCATTCCTTCTTTAAACCATTCTCCAGCTGTGTCAACCTCTTTTACCTAAAAAAAGAATAATAAAAAAATCAGATAACAGCATCAGAAGCTAAGAACCTAATAAGCTTTGAACAATATAAAACCACACACAGTCAAAAGAACAGATTAAAATACTTGTACTGTCACCTCTGTTTATGTTAAGAAGGTCAAATTAGTTAACTGTATGAATAAAAAACACCAGTGATTTTTCTCGGCATATTTCCAGGACTTAAACACAGTAGTTTCAGGTCTATTTTTATAAATACCAGGAACTAAAGGTCCTCGACTGACTCAGAGAAAAGACTGCTCTTGCTAGCAGACTCACCTTCATAAATAAGTGTGCGGGTGCATCAAAATGTGCATCCTGTTTCTTTGTAATATCTACAAGGAATAAGAGTACATGTTAATTGGAGGTTTTGTTAGTAGAGCAAAAAGTATGTTTTTCTCTGAATATGTGAACTACTAGAAAGCAATCACCTTATTAGTGTGGGAGGCCCACAGTTTATGGTAAGATCACTATAAAAACCTGGGGGACATACTCTGCTTTCCTCATTGACTTCTACCTGAAAAAACTCTAACACAACCTCATTTATGGAAAAAAGAAATAAAATCCAGTGTTCACAAGACAGCTCAATTACATCACCAAATTGCTACTAATAAATAGATGCTTTTGCAAAAAAAAAAAAAAAAAAAAAAAAGGCAAGTTAACCTCTCTGAGCTATGTTATGACAGAAAATTACATTTATGTAATTACATATAATTTTGTATACAATTATGTCTAATCATTCCATATACATAACTGATTTTTGCCAGCTGCTGAATCCCTGAAACCCCACTAGAGACATTATATTTAGGAAATAGCACTGTTCTTGATTTCTCTAACTACTCTTATTTATAATGAGTTTCAGTAAAAGTTTAAGTGCTAAAACTGTCCTGAAGGGATGCCTTGTGAATTGTTTTACAGAAATTCTCTTTCAGACAAGGGACACAGTCACAGTGCAACAGGGAAAGATTCAAAAACAGACTTTTTTTTTTCAATTTAGAAGCCTTAAATATTTCAAACTACAGCCACTTTTGTGTTTTAGATAATAAGGGTCTTAACCATGTATCATCTATTATACTGTTTTATCTTCCCTTCCCAAAAATTTCTAAACCACAAAATCTTTCAAAAAAAAAAAAAAAAAAATAGTCCTTAAACTTGAGTGGGGAAAAAATCGTATCCCATAGGATACTTGTTCATGTTGTAGCGTATAACAGACAAACACAGAGAAACTAGTGGAGCAGGACAGTGCAATTCCAGGTATCAGCATGAAAAGTGATACTGTGCTTGAATACTGCAGCTCAAGGTTTTCCTGCAGAGACAACTTGTTAACCACTACTTAAGACTGAAGCCCTCTAGATATTGATATACTATACTCAACTAAAACTTACGGCTTTTTCAACACTGTAGAAAACGCTAGTTGTACTTTTAACTGAAAATCTTGAATGACAGTATAACTGTTAAAAGTTCCTATACCCCATTTTATGTACTTTTAAAGATAATTGCTAAAGCTAGTTTTATTAGCTTTATGAAGTGGCAGTGTTGCTTAAGTCAGGTTTCTCCAAGTCAATACTGCCCCCAAAGACACTTCTGAAATCCAAAAGGCTTACCAGATCTTTTGAATCTATGTCCTATACTTCGAGACCAACCAATGTGATGAATGAGTGGACTGTACATATGGCACCAGAAGTCATCAGTTTTGTCTTCACTTTCTTCATATACCAATCTTAACCGTCCCCCAATGACACTCTCTACAACCGCTACCCTTGTTCGACAAAGGTGTGTTTTGTCAACAACTTCTACTCTCATGGAAGTTTTGAACGGATACTGCATACTTTCAGACACCTTAAAATGGAAAAAAGAAATTATGTAAAAATGTTTCAGTTTAGTCATCTGTCTTCTACTGTTAAAGCACATCAAAGCATTTTCCCTTTAATTCAAGTAACTTCTTAATCCACCTGGAGAAATGACACGAATGAATTTCTCTTGTATTTTGTTGCCAAAATGTAACATTTTCACAAGACTAATTAGAATATATCCTACAATGGTGTAACTTTTATCAAGTACAGCCTTAACACAGCTCTCATAAAGGTTAAATTAATTCTTTTGACTTAATGAAAGTTTGTTCAGTTAATAACAATGAATAAAATTACCTTGAGTAACAATTTTAACAACATAAAACCCTTTTGCTTTGGCATCTTTAAACACAGAATTAAAATTATTATGAGGTATGAAAAAGAATGTTCAAACATAATAAAAACTGACCACGTACAAACATTTCATCATATACCAAAAAGAAAGGAACAGAATGGAAATAGATGTTATCCTGCCTCAAGACTTTGCCAACTTAATTTGGCTTCCAACAGAGCCTATTTTTAAATACAAATGAACACCTTCAGAAAAAAACGAGGTGGGTGAGGTTATTAGATGCAATGTTAAGACAACAAAACAATACTTCATATATTCCTACTAAAATCTATGTACCATCTCATAATAATTAAGTTAACTTAGAGCATACCATATAGGCAGCTGCCATACAACTTAAAAACAGGAAATCTAATCTAGTGCAGATGAAAAATATTAAAAGCATCTTTTTTTTGCATCTAGAAATGTGTTATATTAACTAATTTTGCTTAGTTTCTTGTAACAGTGCACAATAAAAACCACTGCTGAATTAGATCAGATTTATTTTTTCTTATATCACAGGGTAGCTTATTAGCACTTTTTTTTTTTTAAATTGGTGTATTTTAAAATTAAGTAGACTAACTAATTTCTAAAAGAAAATTACTTCTGTTAGAGGAAACAGTTTTCCAAACAGCATCACATTGACAAGTGTGGGGGTAAACGAAGAATAGATACCCAGGAAAACTGTTTCAAGTGAAGAAACTACTTTATCATCTTCACTACAAAAGGAGCTACTGTGCCATTGTAAAATATTTCAGCTCTTCACTCTGTGCTGCAATTTTGTTCACAGTACATCATTGATATTGCATCAGCCTTACCTTCTGAGAAAAGTCAGGAGGAAGTGTTTTGGCACCAGTAAGTCGTTTCACTAGAAAAGCTTTCCAGTTTGTGTATTTGTGTTGGATGGCTGTTGCAAATGAAGGGGACAAAATAAGCCACTGATTTTTAATTGTGTCCGTTAGAGACAATGTTATAGTCTGGAATATGTAAAGAAGAAATCCTAGATGACTGTTAAAAAGCCTGAATGAAAATAATGACAAAAACCTCTTTAGAGAATAAATGCTACCCAAGATTAAATGTATGGGTATGTCAGGGCAAAGTATTTAGTAACAAAATATAGATATAAATCAGTGCATGTTCACATCACTGATTAGCTAACTGCTTCCACCTTGATCTTAAAAACTACGTTGTACCAGAGGAGCTACCACAAGAAACACTTTCACTGCAAGCCAAATCCTTATTTTTCCAACAGATCTAATGATTTATTTCTAACTGTTGAAATCATTATAATGGTAAAAAAACAAAGAAACGCTTGGATATCAGAACCATAAGCAAATTTATTAAGAAAAGACTTTTTAATTATAGCAATCAGTGAGGCTACTATTTACATACTTCGAGGAGGGACTAGAGGCTTTCCACTGGTAGCACACCAACCAACCGGGTGGATATCAGACCCACAAACGTTGCACCAGAAGTCAAGGCTTGAATCATTTTCAAAGCCTTCATATCTTAGCAGAGCATTGTAGCCTGAAATAAAACAATCATATAAAAAAAATATTAGTATTTCTTTACTCAGTATAAATTACATTGGATTTTCTAGACCAGAACTTTTTCTAGAACATTATTCTTAAGGCACATTGCTCTATGTTATCATATTTTAAATAAAATTAAAATTATTGTACTATAAACTTTTAGAAATTATATATTGAGAAATAATTGTTTCTTTACCCACAGTCTGTGCTTTTTGTATTTTAGCTATACAACCCTGATTTTTTAATTTTACTTTTAACCAAGTTTTTTTTTTTTTTTTAAACAAGGCTTGCTATCATACAATTGCTTATCCTCTCATCTGGCACTGCTTTTAGTGAATTCCAGCAATATAAAAACCAGATGCTTTCAACTTTCTTTGAAGCTACTGTGAAAGTGTGACAGTGATAGTGCTATAACATGTAACCTAGCAATACAGCACTGACACCCTAACTAGTGCTGATATTCTACTAACCAGGTGACTACTGACTATAGTATCAGCTCCCTTCACAGAATTATTTTGAGTATTTCAATAATTTCAATTAAAATATATTCACCTGCTAATTTTACAATTCCAGCTATCCAGAAGACTTTGGTAGGTAGGCTGCAGTCCGTGTTTGGAACCTCCACTCGTACTCCTTCTGAGATATCACCCCAGCATGTCCCCATAGGTGCCTAACGTTTAAGGTAGGGGGGGGAAAGTGAACAGTTCACCACTTTATTTATAGCACATGAAAATAATTATTTTTTTTTTAAGTCATATTAGTGTTTTGTGAGTAACTTTCAAATAAAATATGACAATTGATATACATAAGACAAACATGGTTAGAAAATAATCTATGAAAACCTAATTTGGATATTTATTTAAAGCTTATGTGTAGTTCTGCTATGCTACAATCACTGTGTATTTCCTACCAGCTTTAGGATTCCAAGTTTAAACACCTGTAAAGCACAAGCACACACTGTATATGCTCAGAGATCAGCTTTGTTCCATTATGTTTCAACTAGGTGCTACCTACTGATTTTAGTGAGAACGATGTAACTCCTCTTCAACTCTATTAGCAGAAAATTATGGCACTTCAAATTCATACTTGTGCCACAGACAGAAAAATCTTTATATTCTGTAAATCAGTAATGTGCACGAAAAATGCTTACAAGTTATTCCTTGAGTCTATTCTGAAGTTTTATTATGGTGGGTTTTATCACCTATTGGTTCAGATCCTCTCACAAGAACAGGCTTTCATATCATCTGCAAGTAATTATTCTAATAATAAATTAAAATAACAGAAGGCCGAGGTTCACTTTTTAATGAATAATGAAGGGAAACACATACACTGTCCTGAAAGCTTAGCCTAATGTGTTAATAACAAAAAGAAATAGAAACTTGACGAATTCCTAAGGAACCTAGGAAACTGGAAACAAAAAACAACATTTAGTTTGCTCTGCCAGGAAGAATGTTTTGTTGAACAGAGCATCATGAAAGATAGCCAAAGATGGTATAGCAGAGATACAAGAAATGCACAGTGCTAAAGAATTGAATACCTTAAAAGTTACTCAGCTAAAGTTAACAGTAACAAGTTGAGCCAGTCTAAGCTAGAGACCACTAAGAACGGGAAGATTCAGATTTTGGCTATTTTAAAACAACAGGTATATCAAATGTAATCTATTCTGACAAAAGTAAATTCTGATCAGTTCAATGTCCATATACAGGGACAGTTAAAGGAACCCCTGGTTACGTATTGTATTCTAAGGCTGTGTTTCATTTACAAGGTCAAGGTTCTTTGCAAACATAGAGAATTTCACAGCTCACTGGGAATAGCCTCTAACTTCACTGATTTTTGGCTGTGAGCCACAGGAGATGAAAACTGGATTAATCCTGCCTAAACGATTGGTAATTGCAATACTGGAATTTTGCTGGCAATCAGCAATGGCCACCTAGTAGCTCTAAAGACTAAAGTTATCTTAAAAGGGGATACCATTCACTTGTAGAAATATTTGAGGCTAGGCATGCAAAACTTAAAACAAGTTTTAACCTATTAAAGTTAGTCCGAGCAAGTATGCAAATTTCTTATTCTTGAAGCCTGGTCTCTTCATGTTCTGCTATGTCCCATCTACACCAGTCTAGACTGGAGAGCTCATTTCTGCCATCTGGCAGACAGAAAGAAAACTTGCAAGCTGATGCTTTATTTTCATGTACAAAGCATGCAGATGCAGCTTCTTAATCAAGTCCTATTGCATATTCACTATCATCTCTAAATTGAGATTTGTAGCTTTTTGAATTGAAATGGGGAAATAAACTTTTCAAATTGCATATTTTAGTAAATCTTGTTGCCTTGTATAGAGATACAGATGAGTCCAAACAATCAAAAATAGCAGTGCTGAATAATTTCCTAATCCAGCTGCACTACATTAAAAAATATTTTACTGCCTGCTCATCTATTCAGTTGATTCAGAGGAAAAGTATAGAAAAACACTTCTCCTCCCATCAACCGATAATAGAAATGTCACAAATATTTTTATTTCTAGAACGTGGATTGGTATAGAGGGAAATAGCAGAAAGTTAAATTTGTCCTTGTCTGTGAAAATATTGGTTCTGCTAGTTCTCCTACACCAATCCATGTGGCTCACCCTTTAGAAGAAGGAAGCCATCCTGTGTAGCATCATTACTGACAAGCCAGATAACATTACTGCCCTGAAGTGATAGTTTACAGTATACCTGGTATACTGCACATCTTTTCCTTTTTCACTCTTAATATTCTTACAGGAGGAAGACTGGATAAACCAGGGCTATAGCAGCCATCTTCCTTATTGTCTTCTCTGTCTTTGTCCAATTAATTAACATTCGCACAATGCTTTGAAAAATAAAAATCAAAGCACTATGTAAGTGTCAAGTTTGATTTATCTGCTGGCTGGAATGGTAACTCTGAAGTCTGGATTGGCATAATAAGAACTAGCAGAACCATAATTTACAGGTAAGAACAAATTTACCTTTCAGACTCATGACGAAGAGATCCGCTTCACGTTACTCCCAAACAAGGAAGATCTGCTTCATCGCTTCCTGCTCCGGGAGATGACCTGGGAGGGTTTATCTGTGAGCGGCAGCTGCCTTTTCTGCAAGGTAAGTTGCAATCAGGAAGGTCCTGTTTGACAGGGTTTGAAAGCAATGCCTGAGCGCTCAGTATCCCCACATGCTTAGCTGAACAAAGAGCTCATAGGTTAAATTATTTGCTTCTAAAGGTTTTGGATGGCATCGATACTGCCATGATTTCAGATTTGAAACTGGAATCAGGATTTTCATGTCAAAGAAATGCTACCAGTTCCTGAAGCATAAAGATGCAATGCTGCTACCATGTGTAAACTCTAACCCCACAAAAGGTAATGCAGAGAAGACAATGTGTGTAATGGTTTAAAAGCTAGAAGCAAAGCACTGCCACCTAGTGCAAAATCCTGGAAATGTTCCCAAATAATTTTTTTTTTAGTAACAAAAGAAACAAAGAGTAAAAATACTTCAGCTCAGAATATAATTCAACGGGAATAAAGACCGATAAAACACTTAACTTCAGAAAGTACGTGTCTCACCAGCAGAGTAGGAAAAGAATAATTACTGTTAATGTACAAGTTAATGCACCATTAAGTAGTACTGATGCATGATTCAAATCACTATTTGCTTTCAGCTAATAAAAGCAAAAGTATAAAAAAAGTAGAAACTTTAAGATCATGAAACCAGAATGCAAGTTACCAATGGAGATAGCAAACAGAGCACAATGTATATTGCTAAATTATAACAAAATAGAGTAAAAATTCAGCAAATAAAAAAGAGGCAAGGTGCACAAACTGTAATTCTGGCTCTGCCACAGTCTTCCTGCACAAAAAAATAACAAACAAAACAGCTTCTCTATTTCAGTTTACTGACCTAGAAAGCAGATATGGCAGTAATATTGCTAGTGAATTTCGTTAGTGTTAGTCAAGGCTGAAATGTCAGGATGTCTGGAATGAAGGTAACAAGGAAGTGCAAAAGCCACGTAAAGTGCATCAAAAAAGCCTCTGAAATTAATTCCTCTCGTACAGAAAAAGAAATGAAGAGAATTTCAATTATTTTGTTTCTAAAATGTGATAAATGGAAGAATAAATAACTCCCCACATTATACAAGAAAATGGCAAATCTGGGAAAATTACACCAGACCTGAAATACTGAAGTACACTGGGTTATGAAACGAATAAACAAACAAATAAGGGAGTAAGACATGGGATTTTGCTTAAGTTTTCTTTAACATTGATCCCAATGTTCCCTATTAAATATCCAAGCAGATAAATAATCAGGTACATAATTCATCTAATAATAAACTTAGGGGCAGATGTATCATTATTTTACTGTAGTGTCAATTCTACACCTTTATCTTGGACAGGATAAACTTGATATACTCAGTCTTGTGGACACACACAAAACGTGCATGTCATCTATAATATATATTGTAAACAAACGTCAATTAATACAAAGTTTTACAAATCAAAGAATCTATCACGTTGAAAAAATAGCAACGAGCTTTCCAGACAGACAAAGGGAATATTTTTTATTTTAATTATCAACAGAGAGAACGGGAGAGAGAGAGAGAGAGGGATCTAACAAGAAAAGGGTACTAATGTGTTTTCAGATTTTGACTGGTATAATAAATAATGCTTTTCATAGAAATAACTACAGTAAGGGTAAATGTAAATCACACTATTCCAAAGCTAAATAACATCCACCAAAAAAGTAGAAGTTTCAAATGAGACTGCAGCAGTTGCATTTTACTTCGACAAAAAAGGAAAATGTAGGGAGTAAAGAAACACCATTCTGAACATTAGTATTGTACCTGTTCACATTACTGGCGTACTATTCAGGTCAATGAATGAAGCAGTAAGAAAGGAAGATCTGACTCCTTTTTCATATGGAAAGTTACAGCTTAATTTACCAATGTATCACTATTGTAGATGTATCCTAATTAAGCATGAAGCATTTGCTGTTATAATTGCACAGGTCACATTATCAAACAACACCTTTTGATATGTACTTATGAAATTACTTGTTACAACACATACATAATTGTGAAAGGAAAGGGCAAACATGCTTACTTAAGCAAATGGAATTTGATACAAATTCATGAATCTATACTAATACAAGGCTCTGTTCTGGGCAGGAGTTAAGGCCTCTAAGCATAAAGGGTACTATTCAGAAAGTGCCAACTGCCAAGAGCCCTCAACTCCTACTGATTTATGAATTGACAGGGCTCAGCATGAATTCCAGAACTGGCCAGAAAATGTGTCTCTCTTCTCCCTTATGAAGGGCTTCTGTGAAGCAAAATGTTTATTTTGACTGAAATTTTCAGCAGATAATCTCGAGCAAAATAAAACTTGTGTAAGAAGCTGAAACACTAGCTTCTGAAATAAAATAAAAAAAAAAACACAACAGCACGCTGAGAAAAGAAACTGTGAAAGCTTTTACTTAGAGATACTTTTACACTAGAAACTACTGGCAGTATTTTAAACATATAATCAATGGATTTCAACAAACACATTAAAGACAAATGCTGATAAATATTTTCCTAATTCCCCAAGCTACATTCTGTCATGACAAGAATGAATGAGGACCTTTTGTTTGGAATATTCATAATTATAATGCAAATAAAAGTATACTTTTTCATTTCAGATTTATGAAGAGGCTCAATTTTCCTTTATTTCTACAGTACCTAGCAGCACAACTGACAGGAAGAATGACTAAAAACCAAGATTAAAAAAATATCAAACCCAAATATGTAATGGAAAGATCAGTTCCTATAGATTGGGGCTTGCTCCAGTATAAGAAGTATTTTATAACATTATCTAGCATTGCATGAAACCTAGTTGGTTTGATACTCTATAGCATGATTTTGTGCCCAGAACATTTGAAAAATAATTTCACAAGTGTTTAAGACCCCTTTTATTTTTTTTCTTTGTGAAAGCATGCACCATGGGTGTGACAGAGCATTCAGAATGATTCAAAGAACAAACAGAAATATACATATGTATCTTAAAAAGTGGTCATACTCATACAGTTTACAGGTTTCACACTCCAAGGCTTGGAAACAAGTTTGGATATGCATGTTTTGCAAAAACAAATGCAAGAATTAATGGGGATTCTCTCTCTCATGCATGCAGGCACATAAACACACACAAAAGACTAATGCATTGAAAAATACTTACATGTTTAAAACAGGTCACAGGAGCTGCCGTAAAGCTATTGCTATTGATGTAGTTACCCCAGCTGAAGCCTTCCACAGGGACAGCTGTTAAGAGAAAGTTATTTCATTTAGGAAGCTGCTAATGAAACAAAGCTAAAACAAATTCTGAGTGATATAAGATGTTTATGTGCCATTACCTGCTTTAGTCTTTGCCTGGTTTTGTAAAGTTGCTTGGTACTGAGCATATGCTGCTAATTTAGCCACCAATGGTTGTTTTTGTAGAACTTTAGCCTTTTTTGTTGGAGGTTTACCCTAAAACAACAACAAAAAGCTAAGTAAATAAAGCCTTTCCAAACTCCAACCCGAAAATTTCCATAGATCTGTAGCATATTTCTGATGCAACTTTTTTGAAAAAAGTCACTGTGGGGGGGAAAAAAAAAAACAACAAAAAACACTTAAGTTTTAAAAATAATTTATCACATATTTTTCTCTGGTAGATTTAACTAAAATTAACACAACATGGTATGGAAGTTGACCAAGTACACAAAACTACATATAATATTAATGACATTCAAACACCAACAGGAAAACAACTCCTAAAAGATTACGTTTGTACTAGTATTCCAATTTGAAGAACATATATACTCATTGTTTTACCTAGAAAAAAAAAAAAAAAGATATCTTTGGAAAGCAGGTTAGAAGGAAGAATTTTTTAAATCTAATTTATATCAATGCACAGTTTCTTGGCCTTTGTTGCATATGCAATGAGCATGAAATAGGATATAATATTTCTCGACATGTCCAGTTCCTTTATTCAATGTTACAGAAATGTTTTCCTGATTATTTGATTAATATTTTAGGTGAACAGTTCAAATCCCATTTTGTAAGACTGTAAAGTTAAGAAAATCCTCAAAAGGAAACACAACAGTGCTAAATAAACCTTTATTCTCTCTGAAGCCTGAAAGTATCTTAGGGATGAGACTCATGGATTTTCAAATCACTACATATATAGACTAATTGTTGATTACATTATATTTTTCTTGCAAATAAAAGTGTGCCACTGCAGCAGAAATGCAATAAGGAGTCAATATTCTGTGTAATTTGCTCTGCTGAGCAAAGCAATTTGCTCATTAGCGATATAGTTTTGAATTTTGGCTTAGAAATCATTTATGTGACAATTTTACTGTGTTTAGAAAGTTGACTTGGTTGTTTTAAAAACATCATGCAAGTTTTACAAGCATACACATTTTACAAAGACAGACTATAATAAGTATATAAAGAAAATGGTGTCTGTACCGCTACCTGAAGTCTGGCCAGAATGCTGGCCTTCTTGGAGTTCGATGAATAGCTTCTGGAACATGATACACTGCAGAAGCGTTTCGTTTTAGAGTAAAAAGCGTCACGGACACCAACCATTCCACACATCTCGCATGTAGCTAATCAGAGGGCAGAAAGAACAAAATGTTAGGGGTGTAAAAAAAGCCACAGTAAAAATTCAGAACAAAGACAGCATGAAAAAGGTCCTGTAGGTGGCACCAAACCGATCCATTTCTACCAAATCCAAAATTCTACCCAGAGAAATCTCTGCTAATCACTAATAATCTTGTCCAAAATATTTTTCCCCATTGGCAAAAGCAATCTTTCCCCTCCTCCCTGTCCTTTTATTTTTCTTGTAAACTGCAGTTCATAGCTAGGTAATATTGAACAGGGACACACTGACAGGCTTCATGCATCAGTGGTAATGAAGTTTTCCTAGTATTGGAAGAAATATTTTTATATATTGTATATATTAACAAGATAAAGGGTAGATATACTTCCAAGTGTAAGAGAACAGAATGACACTTACAGAAGAGCTCAAAGCACGAAAACAATGCGCATGAGAACACATACTTGTGTGAATTTTATACACAACACATATTAAAAGGGGGGAAATGTTCATCAACTATTTCTTTCCTGACAGCAAGATTCAAATTCTATCTTATTACAGTTTTGTAAAACCCAAACAACCCACTCCCCTTCAGCTATTTCGGTCAAATTTCAAGGGCAACAAACACTTGGGACTGGTCCCTCAAAAATCACAGCATAGGTTGAAAAACAAAGTCTTGGTATTCACGCATCACTTACTTACCCATGCCAGATTTACCATCTGGATAAGTATAGACCTGTCCATTGTTCTTTATGATTGGGAGACTGGATGGCAAAGGAGCAACCTCTTCTTCACTCTCATCTGAACTGGAGCTGCTGCTGGTGTCCTCACTACAACTATCATAACCGTCAAACATCCCGAATGAATCGCGTCTTTTCCTTTCTGTTCGTGAAGTATGTTCTGTCTAAAAATAAATTAAAAAATAAAAAAATAAAAGCAAACAAAACAAAAAATACCAGAGCATTCTGAATACAAAAAAATTCAAAGGCAAACTTAAGAAGTTTCAACGGTCAAAGTCAACCTTTAAATGTAGAACTACTACAAACTGCTCAATCAGCACAGAAATATGAGCCACATATTGCTAATTGAATTAGTATTAGTAGAGCCAAAACTAGCCAATTTCTGGTATTAGGATAAACAGGAAGAAAAATCTCTCTCGGTCCACTGAGAATACACAGTAGCAGCCCATACATTCCTTTTTCTTGGTATCTTCAAAGTTCATTAATCCTGATGTGCTGATTAATGACAGCCACAGAGATCTTATATGCAAATGAGCACCTTCCAGATGGCTGCAGCCAATTTCACCAGAATTCATTCATTTCAGAAAGCTGGGCAGAGAATAGACAGTTCAATGAGGAGGGCACTATTCCACCGAGCAAGAACGAGGCTCTCTCTGCTACTACTGGCTTGCAGGGTTACAGATAAATCACTCATTTTCCCTAGGATTCAGTTTCTCATGGGTGAACCAGGAATACTTCTGTACCTCACGGGGATGTTCTGAGGATTAATACATTAACAATTATGAAGAGCTCAGTTACTATGGCAATAGGGTCTGAATAAATACTAAAAGATAGAAAGGTGACTAATTTGCCACTGTCATCTACAAAACCCTGTTACATAATAGTTTTGCTATAACCTATAAATCTGAGGTCAAGTGAAAACATACAGATTTGAAGAATGCAAAACAGTTGAGCAATTTCCGAAAACATTAAAGCATAAACAACAGATTAACTGATCTTTTTCTGATGCACATCCACTACATGCATTGTAATAGTCACATCTTTCACTCGATCACTATTTTAAACAGCTCTACTGAAACAAGGTTACTGCTACGTAAGTGAGCTGCCCTCATCAAGATATAAAAAAACAAATTCCAAAGTATTTCCATTACTCTTAACAATATCTACTAAGATTGAGAGGCATTAATAAATAAAAGAAAAAATCTACAATGGAAGCACAGGTTAGGGGAATGAAGTACAGCAAGAAAACAAAAATAAATAAGAAAGTCTTTGCTTCTACTTCCTTCCCACTCCCATCCAAGAGCTAGTTTTATTTAAAAATCACTGTAGACAAAAAGAAATGTGACTCGACTTTCCCTTCTTAAATTGCATTTGGATTCATAGCTTTAAGATTTCATCACAGTAATTCCCCAAATCCCTTTCCTAGAGAGTATATGCCTGAACATCTTTATTGTTGGATTTTATCCAAGCCTTTTTCTGCCCTGCTATCCTTTTATTATAGTATTCTCTCTTCTCCTTTTCGATCTAAGTCCTATTATAGAAGGATTTCTTCATATTTAAAAGGGAAAACTGATTCCCACACCGACTCAATCCTAGTATCCCACTAACAAAAAACCAAAACCCACATCCTGTGAGCATAAAAGATTATACAATAAGATACACAAATCACTTAAAGCAGCTCTGAAACTTAAACAAATTCAATGTAATGTTAACAGTACACACACCCCACAGCCAACCACTCAAAGTTATATTCAAACCAACCAAAACTTAGGACAGGGCATAACTCCACATCTCCTTGAAGAAGCTGAGAGCTGCTTGAAGCAGCTAGGACAACAGCTGCAATCAGAGGAAACGCAGGGAGAGGGCAGAACAAACCCTTGTCCTAAGCTGCGCTGGTAGCAAGCCTTACCTGAACACTATCACTGATACTATTACCAGCAAGATGCAAGATCAGTTATTCGTTTGTGTGCACGTGTGCGTAGATTAAGACAGAAGTTGAACACGTTGCCATGGATACAGTGTTCTGCAAAAAGTGGCAGTAATTTACAGATCAGAACATGAAGACTCATTCCCTTCCCCAGAATCTCAAACTCTGTCATGCCCCAGCTTGGCTTTCCTTGACCATTGCCTGCAGCAGGAAATAAGACACAACACCAGCCTGACCATTCACAGCAGTAACGCTGTGTTGCCTCCTCATTTTTGGGGCAGATTTTGGTGGTGTACCAGAACCCATGGACAGGATATCCAGCCTCAGCCATGCATCCTCCATCAATCATCTGACCTCATTTCATTAAGGGACCAGGGCCCTGTCCCACACAAAGGAGGGCTTCGACCCTTTAGCAGAAGCTGCAGCCCGGGGTGGTCTCAGCACATCCCTTTTTCTTTTCAAACCTGAGACCTCTGGACACACGTGGCCGTTCTGTTCACCCAGTGCTTTGCTGCCAGGGCTGTGAAATGCTAGTGCAGCTCAGGAGGAGGAGGAGAAGCACAGCTCTGCTCCCAGCCCCGCAGAGCCAGCACAGCTCCCACTGTGAGAGCAGGAGCAGGAATGGAAAGCTGGAGGCAAGCTGAAGCTCCAGTAGCACAGGAGGAAAGGAAGAAAGGCTGCGGCAGGCAAGCTGAAGCATGGTGCAAGATAGCAATCGCAGATACCACAACAGAACGGTTGGCTCTTTTTAATTTATTTTTTATTTTTGCTATCACATACATTTGGACCCTCAGCATCACTGCCAAGCCCTCTCTGCCAAAACATTCAGAGATGAGAAAGAAAACATTTCCAATTTCTCTAGAGAAATTGGGACCTCTAAAAAAAATCGTTCTTCAGCATTACAGAGGTTTCTAAGGAGCAATCATCGAGAGTTAGTTAAGCTTAACTAAAATGTCAAAAGAAGTCTCATATTCCACCTTTCCATTTACTTTATATTCGGTCAAATTGTCTCAGCTCAAGTTATGAGCAACTCTAAACATTAACTTTACTAGTTGTTATACAAAAACTACAGTGTTATTTTAAAACATTTTCATCCAAGCTTTTGCAAGAAAATAAGCATGCTTGCCAGATAATTTGCATAGGACATTCCTAATGTTAATTTATAGTTATTATCTGGATTGTAATTCTTGGGAAATTACTCAAAATACATTTTGTGTAACTTGGAAAGCACACAGTTTTTCAATAGAAAAAATACCAACTACTTTGTTTATAGAAGTAGGTGGAAGCTAGGGAAGAAAATATGCAAATACCTATGCTGGAATTTTGCTAGAGTACATCAAAACACTTCTATTTTGATACTAAACACCTCTAAGGTTCTTTTCAACCCATGTTGAGACAGCATTTGTAGAAACAAATGAGTAATGTGTGGATCTCTGATAGCCCTTCCTGCTGAAATGAAAGGTCCTATTCTTTTCCAAGCTTTAATATCCGAAACAGAAAATAGTTAGGGTACAACTCTGAACTCAAAGGTCAACAATTGCATCCTTACATAAAGGGCAACAGATGTCTCCAACAGAACCATAACTGAGGAAAAAGCATCTGCTTCAGTAACAGCAGCAGCTTGCAACTCCTGCTGTCTTCTTCCAAGTGCTGAGCAGCAGCGTGCCTTACCAGCTGACTAGCCACACCATCTGACAGGGGAGCACTTAGCTGCTACCTGCAGCACCCCTGTGAATAGAAGCCTTGAAGAGAACAGCCTACACTGTACCAGGTGCTCCCACTGGATTTTGAGACACACTGTCCATGAGAATGCAGTCCTCCACCCAAAAAAGTAGCACAATAGTTACAGTGCTGAAGTGGCCTGTCATAGCCACAAAACTGGGGGTCATCACTGTCAATGGGGGGGAGTAAGCTTACATTATATGTATGTTTGCAGGCTTTAATAATCAACATTTAGTAATATTTCTCCTAAAATTCATTTTCCAGCTACTAGAGACAGTAGCAGAAATTGATCCAACCGTAACAAGATGAATCCCCATGTTTCACAACACAGGCATCCAAAGAAAAGAACGTTTCCTACTCTCAGGAGCTGGATTTAGCATGAAAAATTACATTGAGGGGGAAAATTACCTTTCCCTCAAGATTGAAACAGATTAGTGCTCTTCACCTCTAAACGTGAGGGAATGCATCTGCAAAGCTTGCTCTGAGCAGGAGGCCTGGCTAACCATAAAGCTCAGAGCTGTGCAACCAGTCATTAGCCAAAGAGCAGTAGCTGTTGCACTACAGGATAACCCAGTAGGTCAGCGAGCAGAAGCAATGCACATACAGGCCAAACATTTAGGTATACTGGCTAAGCTTATTTTCCTAGTGAGATTACCAGTTCCTCAACAGGAATGTTTTTTAGACACAGCGATACAAGATCTAGGCGAAGCGGGACTGGCAAATCCAAGTCTGCACGAGTATTTGCTTGGGGGGGGGTTCTTGCATAGTTCTTACTGAAGGGGTGGGTGGAGAAAGGAGCCCTAAAAAGCTGCTTTCGTATTCTACCCAACTTCTCATTTTCCTGTTCTTCCTCTCCCCTCTGTGAGTACTTGGCAACGATGTATTTTTAAGAAATACTCTTAATTAACCATTACACAAGGCAAATGGCATGATAAAAGAATATAGTTAAGAAAACCGGTTTCCCTAAAAGCAGGAAGGCAAACTATAAACAAATATGATTAATAACTAGTTTAACTCCTTTAGCATATAGTTACACAGTTGATTTTAGTCAGCACATTATAGCACACGCTTTCGGAGAACAGTAGCTACTTTTTCAGCACAAAACGATGGTCACAAAGGGCTTAAACGCAGAGTTAAATCAGAAAATAAAACCACATAATGTTAATTAGACATCAAATACTTACTCTGGAAATTGCTTTAGTGTTCTAATGAAAACTATACTCAAGTATTGCCACAATTTATGAGAGTGTTTTTGAAGGTGAGAAGTTGCTATAGAAATTTTACCCTGTTATTAAGTGACCAAACCCCTTGCCTCCAAGCAAGCACACCCTGGCAAAAGGAGGTTGATACAAAAATCACAGAAAGGTCTCAACCTGCTCAAAACGATTGTCATTACTTCTGAATCAATTTAGTGCTTGAATTCAGAAAGGCAGTAGTTTAGGAGTGAGTAGGAGAGCTGTAGCTTAACAGAAGCCTGCCAGCACCTACACAGATAGGCATCTCTTTCAGTGCTCAGATCTGACTCCCAGAAACGTGACAGAAGTTGGAGCAGATGGTATTTGAGGCCAAGGTCAACAATGAGGTCACCATAACCTTCAGGCCATGGGTCTGTGATAAGTCACGTTTACTTTAATCACATATCCTTAACAGATCATACATTTCCCATAATGTACTTCGAAGTCAGTATTAAATTTGATGCACGGCTTTTAAATTCACTCATTAATGTTTTATGCCACAAGCTCAGTTCTAGCTCCAGATGTCAGCATTAAAGCACCGACACGACAAAACTTACTTGTTACAACTCTTCTGAACTTAAGCTGGCCAGAGCAATTTAGTGCAGTAATACTAGCTCACCCCTGACAGAACTGAAAATCTACTTATGCCTCAGAGCGTGACAAAAACGGAAAATTCAAACAGGACCAATTTAAAGAAAACACACTTTCAGCTTTCATTAAAAATAAACAAGCAAAACACTCCAAAGCTAAACATCTTGGGATTCCTGGAAATCAGAACCAACCAAACTTATTTTTTTTATATAAGCAACTCACCTCTATCTGGAAATGTGCCTTCCACTCTTATAATAAGTAAAATCTCAGCTGGAAAATTACAGAAATGTTTTTCCTGTCTCTTCATTTGCTATGTATGACAGCATTTTGTCTGAAGCCAGTTTCTGCTGTTTGCCAATGGTTTTGTCCATAGCCTCTTCCCCAGGGGGTTTCACACAAGAAGAGGGGAGACTCTTTTACAAAAAAATATATCAAATTAGCAGGCAATTTGGAAGGGGAGGGGTGATGTAAATATGTGAAATATCTGAGTTTTGAAAAAAAAAATGAAAATCTGTTACAAATTCCATTATGTGTTTACAAAGCTCTTATACACAGGAGTACCCGGAAGAGGCAAAGTCTAGAAGGCAAATACTTTGTTTTAACCATCCTGTTAACATTAAAAAACAAAAACAAACCAAAAACCCAACACCAACCCAAAACCATAGTGTGCTACACCTGAATTCCTTCTACGTGCTCAGAGCTGGATTCAGCAAAACATCACATGGGTCTAATGCGTGCCGACTTACCTGAGAAGTGAAGGTATGTTGGAGTATGTAGAAGGTATCAAGAACCTTGCAAAATTAAATCACATTTTAGAAAGTAAGAGAAATGAAAGCTAATGAGGAGGAACTTCTTTTGTAAACATTATTAACACCGCTAATGTCATCCAGCTCTTTAGGGAGCAAAAATGAAGATAGTTCTTATTTCCAGGGTACAAGCCTGTTGTATGTGCACAGGTCTCCACGCTCTCAGGAACACCTGAACCGTTCTTGTAGCAAAAGCAGCGACATCCGCCTAGGGGAATTTTTATCTCAGCTACGTTCCCCTATAGCGCAGGTTACACGGTTCCTCAAACCGATCCCTCGGCAGAACTAACAAGCAAAAGCAACTGCACACATCGATCAGCTCTGTCGGCTTTTTTAAAGAACACGCTTTTAGTTCCCATTTAACGCTCCAGATCAGTCTCTCCCGTACCCTTTTTGCTCCGCTCCCTACGAGTCAGGACCGGACTGCAGCGCTGCAACCAGATGTAACGAGCAAACAAACAAACGCGGCTCCTCAAACATGCAAAACACCTAAAACCCGGAGAATTGCCCTGCAGCCTTCACAGAGCTGACTGGGACTGCAAGTTAAGGATCCCAGCGGCTGCCACAGGGGCTTTGAACTTTTTTTTTTTCCTCTTTTGTTGAAGGAGTCGCGTTCCCACACGCGGCCGCTTCTCCCGGGAGCTGACAGAACCCGGGGGAGCCCCTCAGGAACCGGGCTGGAGGCTGACCCGGCCGCACGGGAACAAAGCCACCACAACAACAACACGGCCGCGACTGGCGGGGGATCGCGACAGAGAGCGGGTCGCGACAGAAGAATGAATCACAAGGGGTGGGGGCACGGCAAAGGAGGGAATCGCGACAAACGGGGGTGAATCACGACAGGAGGACGGATCACGATACAGGGGGGGGCGTCCCCCTCCTCCCCCGCTGCTCCCCGCTCTCACAGCCCCTCGCAGCCCCCCTCTTCCCCCCACCCCCGCTCCGCACCCCGCGGGCTCCTCTCCCCCCGCCAGCCCCCGGCGCTCACCAGCTCCTTTGTGTCTTCCATCAGGCCCTGGCGGGCAGCAGGCAGCGGCCGCCGCGGCCCCTTCCGCTGGGCTCGGCCCCCTCAGGGCGCCCCCGCCCGCCCCCCAGCCCAGCCCCTGCCGGGGCCCCGGGGCGGCCCCGCGGAGTTCAGCGCCGCGCCGGGGGAGCGGGGCCCCGCGCCCTGCGCCGGGACGGCAACAACATGAGCGGGCGCGCACTGCGCAGGCGCCGAGCCCCGCCCCCCGCGCGCCCTCATTGGGCGCCCCGCGGGATGGGGCTGCCTCGCTCGCCGTACCCCCCCCCGACCTATGGGAGAGACCATTTGGAATCTGGGGGGGGAAAGAGTGAGAAAGAGGGGAAAAAGAGGAGCATTCTAGCCTGGAACTGCTTTGATTTTAGGACAGATAGTGAGGAATGCGGGATCGCTGCTGATATGGGGAGGAAAGCTGCTCATTTTTTCGCCCCGGGGTGCAGCACCCCCCCGCGCACGCAGTGGTGCGGCCCGACCGCCCCCGCGTCACGTGGGACGCGAGGCAGGCGGGGCGAAAGGGAGGCAAAGAAAGGAGGCCACGTGACCGCGCCTCGCAGCCGAACTCACGTGGGCCGAGCGAGGGGACGGGGGGGGCGGCGCGGCGGGGGCCTATCGGGGGAGGGAGGCGGAGCGGTCACGTGAGCAACCAGCGGGGTTTCCGGTTCCGGTCGGTGCGCGAGGCGGCCCCGTGAGGAGCGATGCGGCCGGGGCCGGGGGCGCCCCGCGGGGGGGAGGCCGGGCCGGGGCCGCTGCAGCCCTCGGTGAGGAAAACACAAATGGGCGGCAGCAGGAAGAAGAAGAAGGTGGCGAAGCAGCTCCAGCGGCTTGCAGAAGAGGAGGCGGCGGCGCTGGAGGCGGAGGAAGTGGAGCAGCGCGGCCGGCACCTGCAGGCCCTGTCCGGAGCCACGGGCGCGGAGCGGGAGCTGGAGGAGCTGCTCTTCGGGGACTGCCTCGCCGCTGAGGAGGGCGAGCTGCTGCAGCGCCTGGCCGGCCCGCCGCGGGTAGGGCTATGGGGCGGGTGGGAGCTGCGGTGGCGGCAGCTTGCTGCGTGCGGGTACCCCCCGAGGGGCGGTGGTCGCCCCGCGGCTGGGCTGAAAGGGACCGCTCGGTTGTTTTCAGCGCGCTGCCGAGGATGGAGGGAGCCTTCTCAGAGACTCCAGCGATTCGGAGGTGGAGAATGAAGCGAAAAGCGCTTTTGTGTCTAAAGCGCCGGCCTGGGTGGATGAGGATGATGAAGCTGAGGAAAAGTAAGTCCAGGCTCGGGGGTAGGAGTCCCTATAAAGGGATTCAGCAGGAATGATCTTCATGTTCTGTGTGTTTTTGTTCTCTAGGGTTGATATGACACATAGGTACAGGAGAGACCTGATGAAAAGCGATGCTGAGAAAATTCTTACCAAGAAAAAACTGAAAATAAGACTTGAAGAACAGTAAGTATCATTAATACTTATTTGGCAGGCTTTATTAAATTAAGAGTGTGTGGTTTTCCAGGTCCCATTGTGGGCTGATCTCCATGGAAATGTTATCATGTTAATGTGAATTGTTTAGAGCTGGTGCTTCTTATGGTGCTTCTGGTATTTTTATATCCAGAAATAATATTTAAAGTAGTAGTAAATAAAATATGAATTTGGTCTCTCTTCGTTAAATTGTTTTTGTAGACGTAAACTAATTCTTCTGCGAAATTATACCAAAAACTATTTGTAGTGATCTGTTGTGGTTTAATTAGGGTGATGAAATACCTTAACTTAGTATAGAATATAAGAAAGAATAGCCATAGCATAACGATGTAGAAATTCAGATGGGCTTCAGTTATCTTGGTGTAAGCGTGCATCATTCTGAAGAGCAGTGCCTTAATGTTTGGTATCAATTTTGCTTTAGCTTCACATTTTACAAGTTAACAAAATACACTAATAAAGGAAGCTGAATGAAGTTTGAGGAGAACTTCACATAGCATTTTAAGTGAAAGTAATCTTGCAAATTTTCATCTGTGTTGCAAGACATAAACGTATCTGATGTGTAGAAAGAAATAATTGTATTAAAGCTTTTCATCCTTCTCACTCCTCACCATTATCTTGCTAGGTTTCAACGAGCTATGGGAGGAGTTCCTGCCTGGGCTGACAGAGAATACAGGAAGAAATCCAAGCGGACTAGAAGTGATAGTAAAGAAACCCATTACAATTCTAATATGCCTTTCTGTGCTTTCCTATTCAGCTGCTTAGAAAATGACTGCTTGATGTTCGGTTGATTCCTGTGGTGTGAAAATTTGCTGGGTTAATTAGTTTTCTTTAGCATGCTTTTATTTGATTTATTGTTTCTGTATGGAACTTACAGGTTGTGATCAGTGAGTGTTTGGGGAATTAACCTTTTCAATATGCTTTGTTTTAATTAGGTGGCAGCGATGATGATGATGATCTGCTGTGCAGAACTGGTAATTTCATAACAACCTCGGAATCCCTGCCAAGAGGTATTTTGGAGGTAAAGGCAAGCCTGGTTTTGCACCTTAGTCTGAGCTATATATACATGCTTTGCTCTTTGGGCAGAGAGATCAGTGACTGCATGAGTTTCTTGTTTGTGTCTGTAACCGTAATGTTTCAATATTTACACTTCACACAACTTGATAGGTCACCTTATAAAAGCATGAAACAAATTGAGGTGTATTGTTTGCTGTAGGGATTACTTCATGTATCCTTAAATAATATCTGCTACTGGGATTTCAATCTGTATGGGAAGGATGGAAGTCTCCCATACCTTTGAGGTTATTGAAGTGGTCTTTGAAAAGTGAGCCTTAAGATTTTCTTATGCCATCTCATTTACAATTATTTTCTTTCTTATATCATCTCATTTGCAATTATTTTAGGTGAGTGAGAATGTAGATAGTTTTATGTAGGCTTTCTGCTACAACCAATAGTCCAAGTAGCATTTTATTATGTCTGCCATGTGGAAACAGCTTACCAAGCTTACTGTGTGTGTGAGTTCTGCTTGTATCGGTTGCCGAAATGTCAGCATATAGTTTGAGATGTCTTATAGAACAAAGAATGGTTAAGCTGACTGTTCATCAGCATAAATAAATGCATAAATTTTGTTGTTTTCTCAGACTGCTTGATCTGTTTTCTAGATGAAGAGCTGCTTGCCAGCTAACCAGGAACGTCTTGCTGAAGGAAAATTGTCAACTGTGCAATTCCATCCATCTGCTCAAGTTGTTATGACTGCTGGACGTGATCGATCCGTGTCACTCTTTCAGGTGAAGAATTTCAATTGAAATGATGTAGATGGCCACTAATACTGAATACTCTTTTGTTGAATGTACCTGAAACAGGCTGGGATGATAGACTTGCTTTTCATTCTTCCTTTGGTGGCATGCACAGAGTGGTTGTAATGTCTGTGATTAGAAAGCGATTTCAAATGTCTGTGAATTGAAATTTTTTGGAAGATTTCAATGGGAGACTTCAGTCAGTGATTTCATACCAGCTATTTGCAGAGTATAAGCAAATTAGTTTCATCAGGCTTTTTAGTTTATGAGTAACAAGGGCTGGTGAGGTTGTGGCGTTTTTTTTTTTTCTTAAGTTGTTTGTAAAACCTGTATTGTGAGGAGCAATCCACTTACGTGTAATACTGCTGAGAAATTAGTTCAGGGATGGAGATACTGTACTGCAGAAGGTAGTCCTGGGGCACTCCTGACTTGCTCCTCAGAACACTAAAAATCGTAACTGTTAAGAACTTTCTGTGTGGCTCAGCATCAGTGAAATGGTCATAGACACAAGTTGAATTTGACCTCCACAAGTCTGCAGGAAAGGAGAATGCAAAGCAAACATTTCCATTTGGAAAAGTGTGTTAGAAATGACATTTTGAACAAAGCATGGGATAGACAGGAAGGGTAAGAGGTAATCCAGAAAGGTTGGGAGTTCCTAATGTATAGGGTGAGGGGTGAGACATGGGATATTTGTAAATTTGGAAGAAAGGGAGAGACTTGTTTCCATCTGGTGTGTTTTTACTTTCCCTTATACTGGTGAGTCAATAAGAATTTACTGTAGAACTATGTGATATGTTCCTTAATATGATGATGTTTCTATTGAAGGTTGATGGTATAAGGAATCCAAAAATACAGAGCATCTATTTAGAGAGTTTTCCGATCTATAAAGCTTGTTTCAGTGCTGATGGAGAACAAGTTATAGCCACTGGTACTCACCATAAAATGTTTTACGTGTACGACATGATGGGTGGAAGCATTATTCCTGTACATCAAGTAAGAGGTATGTTAAACCTTCAAGTCTTTTCAGTATTGTTAAATAGATATAACTGCCGTTTAGATGGCATATGAATTTATTTAAAAGGAAGTGTAGTGAATTGTTGGAAGTACTGATACTTAGAGTATGTTTAACTTTAGTTCATCAAGGATATAACACTAGGTTTGTGTGACATCTAACTAATAACATGGTTTATGGGGGCAGTATGTTATGGAAACAAAAAGCTGAAGTACGATCAGGTCTTGCTTATTCATTGTAGATGTGAATGTTGAGGAAATAGAATAAATTCTGCCAGCATGATGTTCTAATTCTTTCTTTTTAAAGGCATGGAGGACAAATTTGTCAAAAACTTTGAAGTCTCTCCAGATGGATCATTTATGCTTCTAACTGGAACTTCGGGTTATCTTCACTTGCTGTCAATGAAGGTAGTTTTTAGTTCTGTTATTCATTTAACTTCCATTTCTTGGTTCCCTTTTCCTTTTAAGCCTGCTTGCCATCTAGGTTTTTAGTTAAAACAGGTATGACGTACTGTTGACAGCCTTTGAGAGTGAGCTATTAACTACCTATAGTATTAGAAAATGATTTGTGGATGTTTAGAATTTTTCAATGAAGTTGTATTTTGGACTGATAATGGAGTTAAATCCACAGTATTGTGGATTTTTTTGTTGTCTTTTAAAAAAAGCCCTATGTCAGTGATGTGTTTCATTTTATTGTATAAACCCTGCTAACAAAATGAGTGGCCTTGGTATGGAAATAGGAATTTGAAGGTGGATGATACAGGACTTGTTTTTTTGGAATAGTGCTTGCGTGTGTTGGTGTACCTTTGTCATGAATTGTCCTACCTACTGTGGTGCATAATGAATCCAGAACTTTTTTTCAGTTATATTTTAAAGTGCCATATGGTAGCAACTGGGAAGGGCTATATGATAGCAACTTACTAACTAGGAAAAATAACTT